ATGTCCGCCTCCCAGGTTCGAGCAATTCTCCTACCTCAGCCTCCTGAGTAACTGCAATTACAGGCAAATGCCTCCACACCCGGCTAATTTTTATAGTTTTATTTATTTATTTTTTGAGACAGAGTCTTGCTCTGTTGCCCAGACTGATGTCAGCTCACTGCAACCTCTGCCTCTCGAGTTCAAGTGATTCTCTTGCCTCAGCCTCTGAAGTAGCTGTGATTACAGGCACCCTGTCACCACACCTGGCTAATTTTTTTTTTCTTTTGTATTTTTAGTAGAGACGTGGTTTCATCATGTTGGCCAAGCTGGTTTCAAACCCCTGACCTCAAGTGATCTGCCCATCTCGGCCTCCCAAAGTGCTAGAATTACATGAGCCACCATGTCAGGCCTAATTTTTGTATTTTTAGTAGAGATGGGGTTGGGGTTTCACCGTGTTGGTCAGGATGACTTAACTCCTGACCTCAAGCTATCTGCCCTCCTTGGCTTCCCAAAGTGCTGGGATTACAGGTGTGAGCCACCATGTCTGGCCTGGGCACAGGTTTTCAGTGAGAGCCCAGAGATAACTGATGCCCTCACTCCTTACCAATACCAGTGATGAGAACAGGGCTCCAAGCAAGGAGGGTAATGGGGTAGGGGGCAGCCAGGAGACAGTGGGGCCCAGACCTGCTCTCCCCCCTACCATCCTTCCCCTCTCCTCTTCTCTTTACAATTTATTAATTTTTTTTTTTTTTGGGAGACGAGGGTCTCACTCTGTTGCCCAGCCTGGAGTGCAGTGGCATGATCATGGCTCACTGCAGCCTCAGTCTCCTGGTTTCAGGCGATCCTCCTGCCTCAGCCTCCTGAGTAGCTGGGACTACAGGCATTCACCATCACACCCAGCCAATTCTTTTTAAAAATTATTTTTTGTAGACACAAAGCTTTTACCATGTTGCCCAAGCTGGTCTTGAACTCCTGGGCTCAGGCGATCCTCCCCCCTTGGCCTCTCACTGTTGGAATTTTAGGCATGAGCCACTGTACTTGGTCTACAGTTTAATATTTTAAATTGTTTTTTTTTTCATTATGGAAAAGTTCAGACAAATGCAGAAATAGAATAATATGATAAACTCCATTAGCCAGCACCCAACATCAACAATTAGCAATAGTCAATCAGATTTCCCCTAAAGACCCCACTCTCCCACTATTGGATGGTTTATGGTTTTAAAGCAAATTCTACCTAGACTTACCTGGAAATACTTTATTATGTCTCTAAAACATAAGAATTTATTGTAACAAAATCTTTTTTTATTTTTTTATTTTTTTGAGACAGAGTCTCACTCTGCCGCCCAGGCTGGAGTACAATGGCATGATCTCAGCTCACCACAACCTCCGCCTTCCGGGTTCAAGCGAATCTCCTGCCTCCGCCTCCCCAGTAGCTGGGATTACAGGCGTGTGCCACCACGCCCGGCTATTTTTTTTTTTTTTTTTTTTTGTACTTTTAGTAGAGACAGGGTTTCACTGTGTTAGCCAGGATGGTCTCGATTTCCTGACCTTGTGATATGCCCGCCTCAGCCTCCCAAACTGCTGGATTACAGGCATGAGCCACTGCACTGGGCCTGTAACAAAATCTTTCAAAGCTTAAACTCCTATCATCTGCAAATTTTTGGGCAAATCCATTAATATATGGCTCAGATGAGCAAACCAGTGCAGTGGTTGCTAAAAACTGTTGGCCCAATGGGGCTGGTGGTCTCCTAGCCACTGGAACCCTCCAGGGCACGTGTGTTAAAAATACAGATCCCTGGCTTGCCTTGGGTCACGCCTGTAACCCCAGCACTGTGGGAGGCTGAGGAGCGAGGATCGCTCCAGACTGGGAGTTTGAGACCAGCCTGGGCAATACAGGGGGAACCCCATCTCTACAAAAAATACCGGGCTTGGTGGCATACACCTGTAGTCCCAGCTACTTAGGAGGCCTAGGTGGGAGGATCGCTTAAGCCCAGGAGTTCAAGGCTTCAGTGCGCTATGAGTTGCCTGGGAATAGCCACTAACTCCAGACTGGCCTACAGAGCGAGACTGCGTCAGTTAAAAAAAAAAAAAGGAAGAAAGAAAGGAAAGGAAAGAAAAACCACAAACAGACAGATCCCCAACCGAGCTCTGGGGACCCTTACTGAAGAGGTCTGGGTAGGACCTCCTCGCCTCCCCAGGGGAGTATGCAGCATGGGCCTGCCAGCGTGGGTGACCCTGGGGGCTGTGTATGGGTGGGGGCGCACTCCGAACTGAGCCCACAGGGCACTGTCCCCCCTGCAGATGTTCGGGCAGCGGCGCAGCGCGCAGGCGCTGGAGCTGGCACACATGCTCTACTACCGCAGCACGTCCAACAACTCGGAGCTGCTCAGCGCCCTGGCCCTGCGCGCGCAGGATGAGCACACCAAGGAGGCGCTGCTGGCTCACAGCTTCCTGGCCCGGCGGCCAGGGGGCACGCCAGGCCCACTCGAAGGTAGGACGTGGCCTTGAGACCCTGCGCCCAGGGGCCACAACCCCACGAGGCCCCGCCCCAGCGAGACACGTCCCCACCCCCACTTCCCACGGGTGGACCTTACGGATTTGCGAAGAGACCCGGCCTCAGCAGATAGGACCTCCGAATCCAGCCTCCAATCTTGGTCCCTGATGTGACCGCCCTTTCCTGACCTCAGCCTGGTTGGGACCCTTGGCTCAATGGCACGGCCTTCTCCTGGCACTCTTTCCTCCACCTGAGCTCACACTCTCCCTAAGAGAGAACCTGCGCACTCCCTGTGTGGGCCCCAGGTGGTCCCCTTCCCTGCCCAAGAGCTCTGACTAGTCCCCGGAGGAGAGCCCCAGAGCTGGGCCTTCTGACCCTCTCGAGCCTCCCCAGCCTTGTTCGGCTCCCCTCCAAGCTTCAAGTTCACCCCTAGACTTCTCCTAAACCCAGCCCTTTCCTATTATTTGCCCTACCCCTCCTCGCTGATCTCCCAAATCTTCCCCCATCTCAATGTGACCTCGGAACAACTGCCTCTCCCCTTGCAGAGACCTCCACGTGGCTCCGGTCAGAGGTGGAGAACTGGCTTCTAGCCAAGTCAGGCTGTGAGGTGGCCTTCAACGGAACTCGGGCCCTGACGCATCTGCAGGCCCTGACCCCCAGCATGGGATTGTTCCCACCCCCAGGTTTCCCCAAACTAGACCCATTGGCTCCAATCACTTCCGAACCCCCGCAGGTCACACCCAGCAGTAACAAACCCTGAGTAGAACTTACCTCCCTGCCCAGTCAGCAGGCTAGGAACTAAGCCCAGCCTGCTTCAACACAGGCTGTCAATTACAGTTATTATACTTTTTCACTCCAACTTCTAATAACTGACAAGTAATTATTTTTGCTACACTGTGTGCTTCAGCAAAGCAGCCAATCAAAATAGCCAGCAGTTGCTAAGTTACCCCCGCCCCTTCGATGAACAGCCAATCAAAGCGATTTAGCTCTGCTTCTATTTCATTTCTTAGTCCCACCCTTACCATAAACATTCGAACGTGGGTTGGTTGAGGAACTGGGGTGTCTGCCAATCACAGCTGCTCGACTCTGGCTTCTGCAAACCGCCAGGTCGGGTTGTTAAAACCATGCCCTCCCGATGCTATATATCACTGTCTTTTTTAGCCCTCTCCAGGCAAACTGCCCATCATGTGCACCAAGGCCGTTTAGCCCCGCCTCCTGGCAATCGTCCAGTGACAGCTGCTGGGTTCCATCAACCTTGGGCAGCCGGTTGTCGCTGCAGGGAAGCAACCAATAAGAGTTTCTAAAGGCAACCTGATCTTGCTATCAATTGCTGCTGCTTACATGGCAGGCCAGCTGGTCAGCTGCTGATCAGGGTGTCTAGGCTGAAAGGGTTAGGGGGCCTTGTGCTAGGTAGGTGAACCAGAAACCATCCTCGCCGCCAAGACTCGCTCCCAACCTGGCTCCCCAGCAATCTCAGGTGCCTTCCTTGGCCAGATCCTTCACCCTTTCTACAGAAACTACCTCGGTCTGGATCTCCCCACCAGCAGCAGCCCGTGCAATATTTATTGGTCTATCAATTTCTCCCCTGTCTCTCCTCTCCCAAAGTAATAAATCATGTTTAAAAAGTCTGGATGAGGCTACTCTCAACACATGGCCTTTAGCATAACCCTGCTCTGTAGGAGCAGTTAAAAAATTATTTTAAAAAATATCTGGATGAGTGGGATGGCTGCAGGAGTTGGAGGGAAGGAAAGCATTTGAATCCTGGAAAAAAGAGAGGGACTCTAACTAGGTCTTGGGGTCTCAGACAGAGAAAGCTATAGTCCTAAAGAGATGCTAAGTTTGAGGTTGGTGAAACAAAGATGGTCACAGAAGAGGATTTCTTTTTTTTTTTTTTTTTTTTTTTGAGACAGTTTCAGTCTTACTACCCAGGCTGGAGTGCAATGGCATGATCTCGGCTCACTGCAACCTCCATCTCCTGGATTCAAGCGATTCTCCTGCCTCAGCCTCCAGAGTGCCTGGGATTACAGCCAGGCACCAGTATGCCTGGCTAATTTTGTATTTTTAGTAGAGATGGGGTTTCTCCATGCTGGTCAGGCTGGCCTTGACCTCCTAGACCTCAGGTGATCTGCCACCCAGCCTCCCAAAGTGCTGGGATTACAGGCGTGAGCCACCGGGCCAGGATGGAAGAGGATCTTAGAAAGTCCTGATTCCTGAGGCGTCCCAGGACCTGATGAACAGAGGAGATAGGGTAGTCACGTACAGTTGTGCAGATTTTTTTTTTTTAAGAGGGAGTCTTGCTCTGTCACCCAGAGAAGGGAAGGCCCAGGCTCTTAGATCTGTGGGAGGGAAGAAGTGCCTGGGTCGGGGCTCCTGTGTCCTCGGGAGGAAGGGGTTGGGGGCTGGGAGATGGGCATTCTGAGGGCTGAGCAACTGGTAATGGGGACCCTGTTAGGTTCAGGAGAAGTCAAGCGTGCGCAGCCTGGGTCCCGGGAGGCAGAAGGAAGGAAGGAAGGAAATCAAAGCAGAGCCCGCGGTCAAACAGTTTTATTTTTCTGGAGGGCGCGCGGCGTGGGGCCAGGAGCCGGTAGGGGATGCCCGGCGAGGCGGGGCGCTCACTCCCGCTTCCGCAGGTGGATGTAGATGATCCCGCTGACCAGGGCGAGGGGGAAGGCCACCCAGGCCAGGGCGAAGCAGTAACCGAAGCTGCCCCCTCGCGGGTGCTTCGCCAGGATCTCCTCGACGTGAATGGCGTAGATCAGGGCCCCGGTAAACACCGCCACGCCTGGAGAAGTCGGAAACCATGCGTCACGCAGTACCCTCCAGGAAGACTACATTTCCCAACATCCCCGGGGGTGGGGGCAAAGAAGCGCCGGAGGGCGAGTGGGCAGCGCCGCGGCCTGCTGGGAGTTGTTCTCTCCCCAGCGCCGTGCAACTGCAGCGCGGCCTTGGGTGACTGATTTAATAATCTCTCTAGGTTGCATTTGCCCTTCTGTAAAATGGGACTATAATATCTCTCTGTCCATCCAAGGAATATTTTTGAGTGTGTTTCTATAAGCCAAACGTGCAATCGTAGATTAATAAAGCAAGAGAGAGGCTTTGCAAGAACCTAGGGAGATGCTTCCCGAACAGTACTATGATTAAGTTAGCCCTTTGCACCTGAAGTCAAAATATTGAAAAATAAGCAAAACTCTCTGACGTGTCTGATGCACAATATGCACGCGAGAAACAGCAGTTGGCTGACATAAATACCATTACTCTTAGGATTCAGAGATCTCTACTGAGGTGCTAATTAGCTTATCCCCCCCACCTCACCCCCAATTCCTGGGATCGAAACTATTTACCTGTTACCAAGACTACGAAACTCCTTCCCCAGCCCTGGCTCCCTGAAGCCCTAAGTTCCCTAATGACTCATAAGCACAAGCCACAACTAATCATTAGCCACTGAAAACTACAAGTCCCAGCAATCCCTGGGGGCAGAGAGGTAGCCCACAGAGGCACCTCCTGTGGCTCCTGGGGTGTTGAAAATTGTTTTCTTCTACAAGAGGCCCATTCTCAGGGCCCCCAGCATCCTGATGCACCCCACTCCCTTCTGCTCAATTCTTCGGGGGTTGGGGGTGGGGAGGGGCGGTGCTCACTGGTGCAAAGCTGGCAGAGGCCAGTGGCATAGAAGAGGCCTCCTCGTCGCATGGTGTAGAGCTGGAACATGAACAGGATGAAGGACAGACAGCAGAGGATGAGGGAGAGCACCATGAGGACCTGCACCGCCTTCAGCCAGCCTGCAGTAAGGAGGACACAGAGGGGGACGTCACGGTGGGTCCAGAGTTCCAGCTCCACCTGCTTGCTCGCCATGTGACCCTTCTCTGCCCCATCCCTGCTCCCCTTTAGAGCCATACAAGCTTAGATACTTAGATGTATCACTTACATTGACCTTGAGCCCTGTGACCTTGCTAAATTCTCTTTCAGTTCTAGTAGTTGCTTTGCAGATTTTTGGGGTTTTTTTTGAGACCAGGTCTTGCTCTGTCATCCAAGCTGGAGTTCAATGGCAAAATCATGGCTCACTGCAGCCTCATCCTCCTGGGCTCAAGCAATTCTCTCACCCCTTTCGTCCCAAATAGCTAGGACCACAGGCACAAGCTATCACATCTGGGTAATTTTAAAATTTTCTGTAGAGACAGGGTCTCCCTATGTTGCCCAGGTTGGTTTTGAACTCTGGGGCTCAAGTGATCACCCCTCCTCTGCCTCCCAAGGTGGTGGGATTACAGGCATGAGCCACTGTGCCTGTCCACTTTGCAGAATTTTAAAGGATTTTCTACATAAACAGTATGTTTAGTGGGAATAGAGACATTTTTTCCTAATACATTTCCTATGACTTTTATTTCTTTGTCTTACCTTGTTGCATTGGCAGCTCCAGCAAAACGTTGAATAGAAGTGGTGAGAGCCGGCCACATTCTTTAATCTTAGTTTTGCATTAAATCTTTCACACACACAAAACTTTACATAGATGCAGCATATCTATAACTTTACCTTAGAACTCCAATGCACCTGGCCCCACCCCTTTAAACCTTTTTTTTTCTGAGATGGAGTCTCACTCCTGTTGTGCAGGCTGGAGTGCAGTAGTGCAATCTTGGCTCACTGCAACCTCTAACTCTTGGGTTCAAGCGATTCTCTTTCCTCAGCCTCCCAAGTAGTTGGGATTACAGGAGTACACCACCGCACCCGGCTAATTTTTGTATTTTTAGTAAAGTCGAGGTTTCACGGTGTTGGCCAGGCTGGTCTCGAACTCCTGACCTCAGGTGGTCCACACCCGCCTTAGCCTCCCAAAGTGCTGGGATTACAGGCATGAGCCACTGCGTCCAACCCCCTTTAGAACCTTAAAGTGGTTTCAGCCCCATCCCCTGGGAACTTGGATAAATTGGTCCCAGGCATCCATTCAGAGCACCACCCCCATCTCCTTAGAGCTTTGGAAACATAATCTAGTCTTCTCAGAATCTTGGGAGCTTTCTTTCTGTTCCTTAAATCTATAGCATGCTGTCTCACCCTTTCTGAGTCAGAGGAGACGGCTTTTATCTATATGGCCTCTTCAAAACAGGAGGTACTGGCCGGGCACAGTGGCTCAGGCCTGTAATCCCAGCACTTTGGGAGGCTGAGGCAAGTGAATCGCCTGAGGTCAGGAGTTCGAGACCAGCCTGGCTAACATGGTGAAACCCCTGTCTCTACTAAAAATACAAAATTGGCCGGGGGTGGTGGCACACACCTGCACTCCCAGCTGCTCGGGAGGCTGAGGCAGAAGAATTGCTTGAACCCAGGAGGCAGAGGTTGCAGTGAGCCGAGATAGAGCCACTGCACTCCAGCCTGGGCAAGAGCAGCAAAACTCTGTCTCAAAAAAAAAAAAAAAAAAGAACAAGAGGTAGGTACATCCAGACAGGCAGGACATGCATCAGCTCTAGGCACTCAGCCACTCAGGCGTGGACCCCGCCCACTCTATCTTGGAGGGCTTCCCAATTCTCTGTCCTCTGAGGACACTAGGGGTTTCCCTTCTTTGCAGACCAGTCCCACCCCCTCACCCCTCACCATTCTCGCTGACGTTACTGCAGGCCCATGTTTTGGTCTCATTGTTCAACGTGCAGTCATACCAGAGATTCAGGGACTCTTTCCCAGGGAGAATCCACCAGGACTGGGATGGACAGAGAATGAAACAAGGGACAGGGTTAGGGAAGGAGAGGGGACAGGGTCAGGGAGACTCTGGGGAGAGTTAGGAAAAGGGCGAGGTGTCTGGACTGGGGCGGAACTGGGGAGAGCTAGGATTTAATGTGAAAAGGGGTGGGGTCAGAACAGGGAGGAGGTATTGGAGGTAGAGCTAAAAGGGTCAATCTGGTGGCCCAGGCCTGCCATCCCAGCACTGTGGGAGGCCGAGGTGGGTGGGTCAGTTGAGGCCAAGGGTTCGAGACCAGCCTTGGCAACATAGTTAAACCCCATCTCTACTAAAATACAGAAATTAGCCAGGTGTGGTGGTGGGTGCTGGTAATCCCAGCTGCTTGGGGGGCGCTGAGGCAGGAGAATCGCTTGAACCCAGGAGGCCGAGGTTGCAGTGAGCCGAGATCGAATCACTGCACTCCAGCCTGGGGAACAGAGTGAGACCCTGTTTCAAAATAAGTAAAATAAATACTAGGTAAAAGGGGCGGGGCCAAAGCGTTTTTAAAGGAGGGGCGTGGCGGGATTGTGCAGGGCAGTAGAAGGGCCCTGAGCTCCAAGTAGGCTTACCTTGTCCAAGGTGGCCACGAAAAGCAGGATGAGAATGAGGATGTGAAGGGCCGAGACCACCAGCAAGAGGAGCGACATGGCTGCAGTGGAAGCCTGGGGAGGGGGAGCAGGGAACAGAGTCTCAAGAGGTTGGCACAGGCCAGGCACAGTGGCTCATGCCTATAATCTCAGCCCTTGGGAGGCAGAGGCGGGAGGATCACTTGAGGTCAGGAGATGGAGACCAGCCTGGCCAACATGGTGAAACCCCATTTCTACTAAAAATACAAAAATTAGCTGGGCGCGGTGGTGCGTGCCTGTATTCCCAGCTACTCGGGAGGCTGAGGCAGGAGAATCACTTGAACCCGGGAGGCGGAGGTTGCAGTGAGCAGAGATGGTGTCATTGCACTCCAGCCTGGGCAACAGAGCAGGACTCTGTCTCAAAAAAAAAAAAAAAAAAAGAGGTTGGCACAAAGGTAGGTGAGATGTCTCCTGATGGAGGAAGGGCTTCGGTGCAGACTCCTGGGTCTCTCAGGGAGGAGGGGACTGGGGCCTGGATTCCTGAGTTCTTCATGGGCTGCAGGGGTGGAGAGGGCCAGAGATGGACTCTTGGGGTCCCAGAATGAGGAGGATTAGTAATGTGGCTCTTTTCTCCCCAGAGCCCTGTCTCTGGGTACATCCAGGCCAGATAGTGAAAATTCAAGTTGAGACCCCCGCCTTGCACCCCGACGTATCACGAATGAGGAGCTGCCCCCAGCAACAGGCATCCTTGACTCACACCACTCCTCTCCTGGGGTGAGGGGAGGAGGGGGACCTGGTGAGTCATCTGGTGACTCATCCCACCCCCCTGCCTCTAAGCACCAGGGAAACCCCAGCCCCTGGCGATGTCCACGAGGTCCTCACCCCACCCTGCTGCCAGACTAGTGCCTGCTGGACATCTTCTGGAGGAAATGGATGGGATTCGTGCTGGAGGGAAGAGAGGCCTGAGAAGAAGGAGTTAGCCTCCCAGGACCCTTCGGTGCCCAGGAACAGAGGACCTAGAGGTCTCCCAGACTTGGGGCGTTGTCATGCAATGCCCTGATCTTAGGGCCCTCAGAGGAGAGTGGACACGGCTCAGGAAAAACTGCACGAAGTTTTCCCGTGGAGGGCTCTGCGGGACCCCAAAACTTTGCCCAGCCCCACCCCTTCCTATATCTCCATCTCAAGTCCTAGGAGATCACTTATGAAGTTACAAGGATTTCCAACAGTCGGGGGATCTCTCCCATCCTGGGGGTGTCCTTCCCAAACTGCTACATTCCCAAATAAATTAACAAGTCTCAGGCCGGAATAACGGACTGGAAACTTACCGAGAGCTGCGAAAAAAGTCAGAGCTGGAGTCGGAGTCTCGTCCCTCGCTCGGGCCTCCGTGCCCCGCCCTTCTCCTCCCTCCTTCCACCCTCCCGAGGCCCCCCCCCTTCGCCTCCCTGGCCGCCTTCCTCCCTCCCTCGCTCTCCCCTCCAATCCGGAACCCTTTCTTTCTCGCTCACTTTCCTTCTGCCTCTCTTCTCTCCCTCCTGCCCTCTCTTTCTGGGACTCCTCTCTTGTTCCCGTTCTTCTTTCTCTCTCCTCCTCTTAATATATACTGACCCTTTTATACCCACTCTCACCGCACCCAGCTGAGGTCGGCTGCCAGTGGGAGGGCCCAGGCACTCCGGCTCCTCTTTCTTTGGGCCCCCACCCAATCCCCCCAGACAGTCATCATCTGGGGCTCCCTCCCAGGGTTGAGATGAGAGACTCCTGGAATGGGGCCCTCGGGTAGGGCAAGCGTCAGGAGTGGGAGGGCCCGATTCTTAGGACCCTTTGGTCTTGAGGTCTTGTCCTGGGACGGGATGTCTGCTTTATCTAATGGAGCTTGGGGCTGGAGAGGAGTCTGGGAAAGGAGGCCAGATTTCTGTGGCATGGATGGAGGTTGGGCTGGTGAAGCTGGCCCCGTGGTGAGGGTCAGAGGATGGGAGGTGAAATTTGTGAAACTCAGCAAAGCACGGTGACTCACGCCTGTAATCTCAGCACTTTGGGAGGCTGAGGCGGGCGGATCACTTGAGCCTGGAGTTCGAGACCAGCCTGGTCAACATGATGGAACCCTGTCCCTACTAAAAATACAAAAATTAGCCGGGCATGGTGGCCTGCGCCTGTAATCCCAGCTACTCTTGGGACTGAGGCAGGAGAATCGCTTGAATGTGAGAGGTGGATGCTGCAGTGAGTCGAGATTGCACCGCTGCACTCCAGCTGGGTAACAGAAGGAGACGCTGTCTTAAAAAAAAAAAAAAAAGAAAAAAAAAAAGGAAATGTGTGAAACTCTGGAAGGGGGAGGAGGTGGAAGTTAAGGATCCCAGCGCCATCATTTCCTGGCTCAGTTACCTTAATCCAATTCTTTCACCCATCTGGGTTCCAGTATCTTAGTCTATGGTGAGAGAATAACACTGACAAAATACTGATAATAATAATTCTGATACTTATGATGAATGAATAAGGTAATACCAATAGCAGCACACTCCCACACCTAAACTGTTCCTTACTTCATCAAACATTTATTGGACATCTACTGTGATCTGGGAGTTAATGATGAAGGCAGACATGAGCCCTGCTGGTATTATAGAGTTTGTCTTCTGGGAGAGAGAGACAGACAAGAGAAAACATAGCAGCGATGAAGATAAATTTCAGCTAGGGTAAGTGCCTTGAAAAATAAATACAATAGGCTGGCACAGTGGCTCACACCTGCAATCCCATCAATTTGGGAGGCCGAGGCTGGCAGATCACCTGAGGTCAAGAGTTCAAGACCGGCCTGGCCAACGTGGTGAAATGCTCTCTACTTAAAAATACAAAAATTAGCCAGGCATGGTAGCAGGTACCTGTAGTCCCAGCTACTGGGGAGGCTGAGACAGGAGAATCGCTTGAATTCGGGAGGCGGAGGTTGTGCTGATTGTGCCACTGCATTCCAGCCTGGGTGACAAGGTGAGACTCCATCTCGGAAAAAAAAAAAAAAAAAAAGAAACATACAATATTAAATCAAATAGAGTGATGGAGATAATGACAGGATGTGCGGGAGATTACTTGAAACAGGGTAATCAGGGAAGGCCTCTTGGAGGAGGTAACATTTGAGCTGAGACCTGAAGGCGGGAGTCATTTGAACGCAGGGGTGGGGGAGCGGCGGGCGGGGGGGGGGGGCGGGGGAGGGGAAGAGGAAGTACAAAAGCTCTTAAAGCTTTTGAGAACAAGCTCAGGTTGTTTAGGGGCAGACAGAAGGGCCAGTGTGGCTGGAGCACAGGGAGGCAGAGGGAGTGGTGAGAAGGGAAATCAAAGAGTGCCCTTGAGGACTAGGGGAGGAATTTGGATTTCATTCTCAGTGCAGTGGAAAGCCATTAGGTTTTAACAGAAGTGTAGTACCAAAGATTTTTTGTTGTTGAGATGCAGTCTCGCTCTGTCATCCAGGCTGGAGTTCAGTGGCATGATCTTGGCTCACTGCAACCTCTGCCTCCCGGATTCAAGCCATTCTCCTGCCTCAGCCTCCCAGGTAGCTGGGATTACAGGTGCTCGCCACCATGCCCAGTGAATTTTTGTATTTTTAGTAGAGACGGGGTTTCACCATGTTGGCCAGGCTGGTCTTGAACTCCTGACCTCCAGTGATCTGCCTGCCTTGGCCTCCCAAAGTGCTGGGATTACAGGCATGGGCCACCACGCCTGTCCCCAAAGGTTTAATGTATACTATCATTTTTATTTATTTTGGGGTATTAGGGTGGGGGGTGATGACTACTACATACATGAATCTCTTGGGAGGGGACCAAGTGTCCGGGACTCTGATTGAGAGCAGGGGAATTCAAATCCTGGATCCAGGGAAGGGAACTGGATGATGGACGGGATGTCTGGGTATCTGATGGGGCCAGAGCTGGGTTTGGGATAGCTGTTGGTGATTTGGGCTTCCTAAGGGGGTGAGGGATGGACAGTTCAGTGCCTGGCTGGGTACCCCGAGACCTGGGATACCAGTATAGCACAGATTCCGGAGCCACACTGGTTGGACTAAAAATCCAAGCTGTTTTACTCAATGGCTGTGTGATTTTGGGTGGGTTACTAATAACTTCTCTATGCCCCAGTTTCTTCATCTGAAAAAAGAGATAACAGTAAACACATTATAGGGTAGGTCTCAGGGTAGTGCTTGGCCCACTGTAAGTACTGTATGTGCTCATCATATCAGGCATTAGGGGGAACCCTGATTCAGGATTTCTAGGAGCTGGGGAAGGGGCAAATTCTTGGGTCCATTGGGTCTCAAGGCTAAAGCTGGGAATCCAAAAGGAGGGTCCTTGGGGTAGGAAAATAAGTAGTCCCAAACTTAGGTGCCTAAGTGGGACAGAGACTGGGGGTCTGCATTCAGATCCCTAAGGAAGTTGCAAAGTCTGGGTCACTGAAGGAAAAATTAGGGGCTGGGGAGCCATGTGTTCTTCTTGGGCTGCAGGGAAAGGGGGCTCCACCTTCCTGGGAGCAGTAGGGGTAGCCAGGGGCTAGGAAGATGGAAACTTGGGCCGGAGAGGTGAAAAACACGAGTCTAGGACTCAGAATCAAGTTTCCTGAGTGGAATCGGCGCCAGGCTTGGGTACCCTGGGGATATTACGGGGATCCCCACGGTAGGGCTATGTAGAAGGGGAAGGGATCTGAGGCCCCTCCTGGGCCTCGGAGATTATGAGGTGAGCTGAGCTGAGCTGAGCGAAAGCGGGCCGCTTCCTCCCACAGGAAACCGCAGGCGTCGGGCACACCCAGCCTGCAGGGAGAGGCGCTCACTGCCCGCCCGCCAGCCGGGGAAGGCCCACGTGGGTAACAGCCGCCGCGGAGGGGGCGTGCCTTACGGAGCGAGTGGGTGTAACCAAGAGGGGGCGTGTCCGGAAAGCGGGGGCGGCACGAGGGCCTCAAAGCCCCGCCCACTTCCGTCTCTCACGCGCGGACGCGGTAGGCGGAGAACGACTTTTGGCGGCTTCCCGGGAAGCCGTTGATCGCGCTTGCGTACTGCTGAGGTTGTGGTGAGCGCTACTTCTCACAACTCGCGGCTTCGGCACCGCCTTCCTTCCTGTGAATCCTTAGATTAATCTAATGTAGTATTAGCTTAAGACAGGCATTTCTCGAGCTCCGTCTCGAAGGACCTCGGCCTGGCTTCAAGGACTTCTGTAAAGGTCCCCGCAGGCTCTTTCAGCTCCCGCCGCTTCCAGGCCCGCGGTACTCCTGAGACCTCAGCCTCGAGCTTCCCAAGACCATTCCGACCTCCCCCAGGCCGTCCAGGCCTGAGGGCCTACCGATTAGCCCGCCCTTCACCGCCCTCTCACCAGGCCCCGCGTAAGGCCTTCCAAACCCGGCCTTCGCAGCCCCGCCCCTTACGGGGACGCCCCTCCCCTCGCCAGCCCCGAGGCCCGGCCGTTTACAGGTGTCGTTGCCCCTGCCGTCGTCAGCCCGGAAGCCCCGCCCTTTACAGGTCCCCATGCCCCGCCCCTACCGGCTCTGAAGCCCCGCCCCCCCTCGGAGGTCCCACTTTCCTCACGGGTCTCAGCCCCGCCCATCAAAGCTCCGTACGCCCCGCCCCTCTCAGGCCTCACAGCCCCGCCCCTCGCGGGGCTCAGCAGCCCACCCCTCACGGGCCCTCCTGGCTCCGCCCCTCGCAGAACCTCCCGGCCCATTAGTTCATCCTTTTTTTTTTTTTGAGACAGAGTCTTCGTCGCCCAGGCCGAAGTGCAGTGGCGCGATCTCAGCTCATTGCAACCTCCACCTCCCGGGTTCAAGCTCTTCTCCTGCCTCAGCCTCCCGAGCAGCTGGGACTACAGGCACGCGCCACCACGCCCCGCTAATTTTTTGTACTTTTAGTAGAGACGGGATTTCACCATGTTAGCCAGGCTGGTCTCGTACTCCTGACCTCAGGTGATCCGCCCGCCTTGGCTTGCGAAAGTGCTGAGATTACAGGCGTGAGCCACCGCGCCCCACCTCGCCCATCAGTTCCGAGTCCGCGGGAACCCTGCAGGTCTAGCCTCGCAGGCTTCTCTGCTCCTCCTCCCCGTAGTTTCTCCCACGGCCTTGGTCCCTCCCCGGCTGCTGTCCTCAGGCCTCATTGGTCCCTTATCTCCCCAGTAACCAGACCACAACACTGAGCTTGGAGTACCAAGAACAGGGCGGGCCCGTCAGCAGGTAGGGCCCCCGACTCCCCCAAACCTGCCCAACCTCCCTACAGCAGGCCCGGTGTTCCCCCTCCCCTGCAACGCAATAGCCCAGCCTCGGATATCCTGAGAGCCCAGGAGACCTGTCCCCTTCCAACCTGGCGCCAGAGTCAGAGCCGAGATGCAAGACCCACAGTGTGAGAGGTGGGAGGACGGGAGAGGTGTGGGAGCGGCCTGAGATACAGGTCTCCTTCCAACCCTTCTTGGATGAATGAGGTCAGCGGGGTTCTAGGGTCACCCCCTTGCAATTCCCAGTCGCTTGCAGTTCATCGGCCACCCTCCTTTGGGCCCTCGCCCGCCTGCTGTCTGAAGGGTCTATATCCATCCCTACAGGAGGCCAGCCCTTTTTGGCCAGGATGCCTTTGGGACGCCCGGCAGGGAGTGCCCGCTCCGAGGAGGGAAGCGAGGCCTTTCTGGAGGGAATGGGTAATTCATTCATTCTTTGTTTCGTTCGCCCATTTCTTTTCCAGCCCTTAGCTTTCCCTAGATCCAAGTCCTATAGGGAGGGGGAGAGTGTCCGTCCAGGAGCACCTTGTGTTGGGAACAGATATGTGCCCTAAGGGAGGCAGGGTGGGCACCACCGTGGCTGGGCCAAGTGTGGGCAGTGGGGCAGGCTGGAGACTTCAGGCAGCAGGAGAAGTTTGAGTGGGGCCCAGCACTCCCTGTAGGAATTGCCAAAAAGAAAAGGAGGGAAGGGTGTTTCTGCAGCGATAACGGAATGTGGATAGAGCAGGCTTTCTCAAACCTGCGTGCTGTTGACTCTTGGGGTGGGATAATTCTTTGTTGTGGGGGCTGTCCTGTGTGTTGTAGAATGCCAAGCAGTGTCCATGGCCTCTGGATACTCTGGTACTCACTGGATACCAGTAGCACCTTCTCTTCCCCACAAGTTGTGACAATGACAGATGTCTCTAGGCTGGGTGTGCTGGCTCATGCCTGTAATCCCAGCACTTTGGGAGGCTGAGGAAGGAGGATCACTTGAGCCCAGGAGTTCGAGACCAGCCTGAGCAACACAGTGAGACATCATATCTACAAAAAAAATAAAATGAGCCAGGTGTGGCATACACCTGTAATTCCAGCTACTCGTGAGGCTGAGGTGGGAGGATCACTTGAGCCCAAGAGGTAGAAGCTGCAGTGAGCTGAGATTGTGCCAGTGCGCTCCAGCCCGGGGGACAGAGCGAGACCCTGTCTGGAAAAAATAAGTCTCTAGATATTGCCAAGTGTTTCTGGAAGGCACGATCACTCTCCGATTGAAAACTACTGGGCCTTTGGAGGTGGGGAGCGTGTGGGCAGGACTGGAGAGATGGGTAAGGTCAGGTCACTTGGGGCCTTTGATGCCAGGCTGAGGGGCTGAGACTTTGTCCTGTGGGTACTGAGGCCTGTGAGGGGTACGGGCAGTTGTGAGTGGGGTAGGGTCAGCTGTGGGTGTAGAGAGACCCTCTGGGACTGTGGGGGAAGGCTGAAAGTTGAGAGAAAGGCTGGGGTGATGGTCCAGGTAGAAGAGCATGAGGCTGAGCCCAGGGGATGGGCTGAGAGAGGGAGGAGGCAAGAGGATGTGGCTGAGGGCTGCTGATGGTGGGGCGGAAAAGGAGGGAGGGAGCAAGAGCTTTCCCAATTCTAGGTGGAGTGCCCAGGTCCCAGAGGACCCAGAGGCCTTCCAGAAGTGCCCTCTGGTGGGATGGGAGTGGCTTTTAGGGGAAAAAATCCTGAGTTCAGTTTTGGGTATGGAGGGATGAGGAAGCTCGAGGGATCCCAGAACTGAGGTGCAGTCCTAGAGGGGTGCTGGGGGCTGGGTCTGCAGTTCATTTGCAGTTTGTGAGGCCCCAGAGGGAGCAGAATTCCCAGGTCCTTGGCTGGAAGGAGCTGGTGGCCAGGATCCCCATTGAGTCCTTTGGCTGGCCCTGTTCTCAGTGGATTGGGAGCTGAGTCGACTGCAGCGACAGTGCAAGGTGATGGAGGGGGAGAGGCGGGCCTACAGCAAAGAAGTCCACCAGCGCATCAACAAGCAACTGTGAGCCGGGGGCCTGGGCCCTGAGCTGGGGAGGGAGGCAGGCTGGACTCCTGGGTCTGAGTGGGAAGCGCAGGAGCGGTGTGTCCCACCTTTAGTGATGCTGAGTTCTGCTCCCTTGCTGGCCCCTCTTCCACCTCCCTGCCTGGGTAGCGAGGAGATCCGGCGCTTGGAGGAGGTACGCGCCGATCTCCAGATGCAGATCAGTGCAGCCCAGAACCAGGTCAAGCGGCTTCGGGACAGCGAGCGGCTGGAGAACATGGACCGCCTGCTGAAGGGCCGGGTCCAGGTGCAGGCGGAGGTCGAGGAGCTACAGGAGCAGACCAGGGCCCTGGACAAACAGGTGGGTTCTGAGATGGGTTTCTGCAAATCCTGCTTACACGGGCAAATGTTGTAACCTCCCTGAGCCTTAGCTTCCTCATGTGAAATCAGGCTATGAGGCTGGGCATGGTGGCTCACGCCTGTAATCCCAGCATTTTGGGAGGCTGAGGCGGGCAGATCACTTGAGGTCAGGAGTTCAAGACCAACCTGACCAATGTGATGAAACCCCATTGCTACAAAAAATACAAAAATTAGCCAGGCATGGTGACATATATAATCCCAGCTACTCAGGAGGCTGATGCAGGAGAATCGTTTAAACCTGGGGAGGCAGAGGTTTCAGTGAGCCGAGACTGTGCCACTGCCCTCCAGCCTGGGTGACAGAGTGAGACTCCAAAAAAAAAAAAAAAAAAAAAAAAATACGGAGTGATTGAAAGCATCCATCTGGTAGAGTTGTGCTCAGTGGAAATATAGGTGTTTCCTGCTTAGCACAGTCCCAGGCATTCAAAGAGCGGACTGTATGGTAAGCAGGAAAGATTCACATGCTAGAGTCACCGAAACCTATGTTAGGGTCCTGGGTCTGACATCGGAGTTCTGTGACCACGGGCAGGCAGGTTTTCACCTCTCTGGGCCCTAGTTTCTTCATCTGCAAGAGGACGGTGGCGACACCGCAGTCTAGACAGGTTGTGAATCCCGTCTGTTTCAGGACCTTGCTGTTTGACCTTGCAAACAATGTGATTTTTCTAGGCCAGTGATCTGTCAAGTTTTTATGAGCATGACTCATGAGGTGTAGCTCATATGTACCGATGTAAACACACACATATATAAGAATATATCTGAAACAGAAGTTTCAGCAAATAATATTTTTTTCTATGTGGGATTCATTCAGCTAAATGCTGGTCTACTCTTCATTTTAAAAACCCTGCTTGTCATTTGGGCTCAGTGGTACGTGTCTTGAGGCTGAGGGGGCAGGAGTGCTTGAGCCCAGGAGTTCGAATCTTCAAGGAGTTATGATTGCCCCACTGCACTCCAGCCTGGGCAACAGAGAGAGATCTATTTTCTTTCTTTCTTTCTTTTTTCTTTTTTTTTTGAGATGGAGTCTCACTCTGTCACCCAGGCTGGTCTCAAACTCCTGAGCTCAGGTGATCCACTCACCTCAGCGTCCCAAAGTGCTGGGATTACAGGCGTGAGCCACGTTCCCTGGCCTAGACCCCCTTTCTTAAAATCGCGCCACCGTACTCCGGTCCGGGTGACAGAGTGAGACTCTGTCTCGAGACAACAGCAATGAAAGGCAAAACACAGTGATATGGCCACAGGCAAGGAATCCACAAGTCAAGGAATCCCACCTGCAGAAACTGGCAAAGGCAAGGAATGAAAGGACGAATCCCAGACTTGAGAAAACATCTGCAAAGCATGTGTCTGATAGAGAACTTACATCCAGAATATATTAAGAACTCTTCCAAACTCCACTAAAAAGACGGATCTTACCAAGTGTGGGTGAGGATGTGGAGGAAGTAGCATTCTCATGGTGGGAATGTAGAGTGGCACACGCCTCTTGGCGCGCAGTTTGTTTTTTGAGATGAAGTCTCACCTATTGCCCAGGCTGGAGTGCAATGGCACCATCTCAACTCACTGCAACCTCTGCCTCTTCAGTTCAAGCGATTCTCCTGTCTCAGCCTCCAAGTAGCTGTGTACCACAACGCCCAGCTAATTTTTTTGTATTTTTAGTAGTGATGGGGTTTTCACCATATGATTCAGACATTCCCCTCTTAGGTGTTTACCCAAGAGAAAAGAAAGCACATGCCCGTACAATGAATCGTTCATGAATGTTCATGACAACTCAACTTTATTTGTAAAATCAAAACCTGAAACAACCCAAATGTCCATCATTGGGTTCTTTCAGTCTCTTGGCTGAATGGATGAGCAAACTCTCCTCTATGCATGCAATGAAATACGACTTGTGAGTAAAAGAAATGGACTATTGATACAATATGGGTGAATTGCAAAATAACTGTTCAGTGTGAAAGAAACTAGATATCCTTTTGATCCCCAAATGAGTCCATACTATACAATCCCATTAATAGAAAATGCAAACCAATCTGTAGTGACAAGAAACGGTTCAGGATTGCTGGGGGAATACTTGGCTGCAGGAAGAGAACAGGATGAGCTACTACAAAAGGGCACAAGGAAACTTTAGGGGTGATGGATATTTTCACTATTTTACGCCAAGCGTATCAAATTATACACTTTATTTAGAGACGGAGTCTCGCTCTGTTGCCCAGGCTGGAGTGCAGAGGTGCAGTCTTGGCTCACTACAGTCTCAACCTCCCGGGTTCAAGTGATTCTCCTGCCTCAGCCTCCCAAGAAGTTGGGACAACAGGTGCCCACGAACATGCTTGGCTAATTTTGTATTTTTAGTAGGGACGGGGTGTCACCCTGTTAGCAAGGCTGGTCTTGAACTCCTGACTTCAGGTGATCTGCCCACCTTGGCCTCCCAAAGTGCTGGGATTACAGGCATGAGCCACTATGTGTGGCCCAAAGTGTACACTTAATTGTCATCTATTCTTCAATAAGGCGATTATTGAGGCAGGAGGATTGCTTGAGTCTGGCCTGGGAGGTGGAGGCTATATTGAGCCATGATGGTGCCACTGTACTTGCCCTGGGTGACAGAATCAGAACCTGTCTCTTGAAAAAAGGAAAGAAAGAAAGAAATAATGCAGATATGCCCCTTGTACGCTTTGCTACATTTTCTCACAGTGTCAACATTTTGGGTGTTTCTTTTTCTTTTCTTTTTTGAGATGGAGTCTCACTCAGTTACCCAGGCTGGAGTGCAGTGGTGCAATCTCGGCTCACTGCAGCCTCTACCTCCTAGGCCAGACTCAAGTGATTCCCGTGCCTCAGCCACCCAAGTAGGTGGGATTACAGGCATGTGCCATGACGCCCAGCTAATTTTTCTATTTCTAGTAGAGATGGGATTTTGCCATGTTGGCCGGGCTGGTCTCAAACTCCTGACCTCAGGTGATCCACCCACCTCGGCCTCCCAAAATGCTGGGATTATAGGTGTGAGCCGCTGTGCCTGGCCAACATTTGGGTATTTGCCTTTTGTCACAGCAACTGCTGAAAATCCAGTCTAACAAAGATGTGACATCATGAAAAGGATGATAGCGTCCCCTCATGCTGAACTTCTGAACTACCTTGAGCTAGTAGTTGATGTGGTATCTGACCATCTGATCAATATCAAGGTCTTCCTCAAAAATTTAAAACATCCCAGTGGCCCGGCGTGGTGACTCATATCTGCAATCCCAGCACTTTGGGAGGCTGAGGTGGGTGGATCACGAGGTCAGGAGTTCAAGACCAGCCTGGCCAACATGGTGAAACCCTATCTCTAAAAAAGAACGAAAAAGTTCCCATGGTGAGTCTTAAGTTTGCTGCAGCCTTCTGCAGTATCTTGGTGCATGGATTAGTTTGTTAGGGCGCCAGTGACAAAGTTCCACAAATTGGGTGGCTTGTATAACAAAAATATGTTTTGTCACAGTTCTGAAGTCCAGAAGTCCAAGATCAAGGTGTAGGTTTGGTTCTTTCTGAGTGGTGTGGGGTGAATATATCTATTCTGTGCCTCTTTCTTTGCTTCTTTCGGTTTGCTGGCAGTCTTTGGTGCTCTTCACTTGGAGACATGTCACCCAATCTCTCAGCTCACTGCAGCCTCCGCCTCCCAGGTTCAAACAATTCTCCTACCTCAGCCTCCCAAGTAGCTGGGACTACGGGCGCCTGCCACCATGCCCGGCTAATTTTCATATTTTTAGTAGAGACGGGGTTTCACCATATTGGCCAGGCTGGTCTCAAACTCCTGACCTCAGGTGATCCGCCTGCCTTGGTCTCCCAAAGTGCTGGGATTACAGACGTAAGCCACTGTGCCCAGCCAACATATGAATTTTTACGGGACATGATTCAACCCATAACAGAGCACGAATTGAAACACAGTGTTAAGCCATTCATTTATCTATTTAGTTCGCACGTTTTGTTGAACATCTTCTTTGTCTCAGACACAGAGAAAACACAACTCTCTGCCCTCATGGAAACTCCAGTTTGCTGGAAAAGACAGAGTGCACCCCAATAAGCAAGGATGAATGCAGAAATGAGAAGGACAGATTGGAAGTTGGTTTGAGGCATAAGCAGACCCAGGGATTCTACTGTCATCATTAGAATGTTTAATGTTCATTCTCAGCATCTCTCCAAGCTCTCCCCTTCACTTCTGCCCACTGGCCCCGTTCTCCCAGGATCCTCCCTGTGGTGGGCACTACGACAGCCAAAGTCCCGGCATCTCATCCTTCCATCTCACGTGCTCCCCCAAGACTGTCAGGAAAGGAGTCAGGGCTGGGCGCGGTGGCTCATGCCTGTAATCCCAGCACTTTGGGAAGCCGAGGTGGGCAGATCACCTGAGGTCAGGAGTTCAAGACCAGCCTGACCAACATGGGGAAACCCCATCTATACTAAAAATACAAAAACCAGCTAGGTGTAGTGGTACATGCCTGTAATCCCATCTGCTGGGGAGGTTGAGGCATAAGAATCACTTGAGCCTGGGAGGTGGAAGTTGCAGTGAGCTGAGGTCACACCACTTCACTCCAGCCTGGGTGACAGAGTGAGACTCTGTCTCAAAAGAAAAAAGGAAACACGTCAGGCTGGCTTCATGGGATCACAACCGTATCTCTAGGCCAAGCCCTGTGAGTCTCTAGAACCGGGTCATGTGGCTGAGAGGGTTATACGTTGTGGTTGGAAGGCCCACCAGAACCGCATGGAGGACTGGATACAGTCAGCCGAAGGGTACATGGGATTCTGGGGCGATAGGGACAGCTGATGTCTGCCATGCGTAATGACTCATTTTCCCTCGGCCATTCAATCTTTCTCACGTCCAGGCAACCATAAACGGGTACCACCCTCTTTATTCTAGATCCAGGAGTGGGAGACACGGATCTTTACCCACAGTAAGAATGTCAGGTCCTCAGGATTCATCCGAGATCAGAAGGTCAAGATCCGGCGAAGGATCAGGATTCTGGAAGACCAGTTGGACAGGGTGAGGGTCAACATTCTGGTCCCTCGGCCTGCCTGAATTGTGGGGTTAGGGGAAGAGCTGGGCATGGTTGTTGGGTTCCATAAATGGCAGACAGTGTGTGCACATGTGTGTCGGGTCGCAGGATTCTGGAGGGATGGAGGTTCCCAAGGAAAAGAGACTGATGGGTCCTTAGAGGGGAGTGGACATTGCTTTCAGCAACCTCAGAGAACCCATGTTTCTCAGGAAACAGGCCGGCCCCAGCTCTGATAAGTGCCTCTTCCCGGGCTGAACTTGGAGGAGGGAGACAGGGCTGGCCTCAGGCCCACTCTTCCAACTGCCTTTCTACTCCCAGGCCACCTGTCACTTTGACATCCAGCTGGTGCAGAACGCCACCCTGCGTGAGGAGCTGGATCTGCTGCGGATCGAGAGGAACCGCTATCTGAACATGGACCGCAAGCTCAAGAAGGTCAGCTACCCTGACATCCAGGGGAGGAGAGAGGGACCCCTGCTCGCGTCCTCCCCACAGCTGTTTCCCTACCTGCTCCAGCACTCAGGCCTCAAGTACAGAACTGACTAGAGCTGCAGGCTTGCTTTAGTCCAGAGGGCATGGAGGCCTACGAGGAAAGTAGCCTCATTTATAGCTGTAGAAAGCAGAGTGTCATCCTGAATATTATCACCCAGGGCAATCTACGAGCAAGCAAGACCATTTATTATAAATTCCATGGGTATCTGAACTAGCCCTGCCGCTCTTTTTTGACTTTTTTTTTTTTTTTGAGATGGAGTCTTGCTCTGTCCCCCAGGCTGGAGTGCAGTGATGTGATCTCAGCTCACTGTAGCCTCCACTTCCCAGGTTCAAGTGATTGTCCTGCTTGAGCCTCCTGAGTAGCTGGGACTATAGGCACCCACCACTGATCCCAGTGAATTTTTGTATTTTTAGTAGAGATGGGGTTTCACCCTGTTGGCCAGGCTGGTCTTGAACTCCTGACCTCGTGACCCACCTGCCTCGGCTCCCAGAGTACTGGGATTACAGGCATAAGCCACTGTCCTTGGCCCTTTCTTTTTTCTTTTGAGATGGAGTCTCGCTATGTCACCCAGGCTGGAGCGCAGTGGGGCGGTCTCGGCTCACTGCAGCTTCTGCCACCCAGTTCAAGTGATTCTCCTGCCTCAGCTCCCAAGTAGCTGGGACTACAGGCGCCTGCCATTATGCTTGGCTAATTAAAAACATTTTTTTTTTTTTTTCAGTAGAGATGGGGTTTCACTATGTTGCCCAGGCTGGTCTTGAACTCCTGACCTCAGGCAATTCACCTGCCTTGGCTTCCCAAAGTGCTGGGATTAGAGGCATGAGCCACTGTGCCCAGCCTTGATTTTAATTTTGGAATAATTTCAAGTTACAGAAAAGGTGCAAGAATTGTGCAAAGAACTCCTATATATCCTTCGCCAAGTTTTATCATTTGCCACATTTACTCTCTCTTTCTCACCCCCCCTTACTATGCATGTGTGTAATTATCATTTTGGTGAAAATAATTTGTTATCCTGATTGCTGAACTGTTTGATGGTATGTTGCAGGCATTATGCTCCTAAATACTTTAGTGAGCATTTTCTAAGAATAATGCCATTTTCTTACATAAACACAGTGCTGCCTGGGTGTGGTGGCTCACGCCTGTAATCCCACCACTTTGAGAGGCCAAGGCGGATGAATCACCTGAGGTTGGGAGTTCAAGACCAGCCTGGCCAAGATGGTGAAACCCTGTCTTTACTAAAAATACAAAAAAAAAAAAAAAAAAAAAGCTGGGCGTGTTGGCACATGCCTGTAGTCCCAGCTACTCAGGAGGCCGAGGCAGAGAATTGCTTGAACCCGGGAGGCGGAGGTTGCAGTGAGCCGAGATCACATCATTACCCTCCAGCCTGGGGCGACAGAATGAGACTCTGTCTCAAAAAAAAAAAAAAAAAAGAACATACAGTGCTATTACCAGGTCAGGGACATTAACGTTGTTAGAATTCTAAACAGTCCATATTTCAAGTTTGCTGGTTGTCTCAACAGTGTCCTTTACAGCAAACTTGATTTTCCCACTCTAGGATCCAGTCTAGAACCCCACATTGCATTTGGTTGTTCTGGCTCTATTCATCTGGGTCAGTCCCTTGACCTTTTTTTCTCCATGATGTTGACATTTTGGAAGCATCCAGGCCAGTCGTGTTATACAATGCTGGCTTATCTGTGTTTTTTTTAGACAGAGTCTCACCCTGTTGCCCAGGCTGGAGTGCAATGGTTCGATCTTGGCTCACTGCAACCTCCGCTTCCTGGGTTTAAACAATTCTCTTGACTCAGCCTCCTGAGTAGCTGGGATTACAGGTGCCCACCACAATGCCCAGCTATTTTTTTTTTTTTTTTGCATTTTTAGTAGAGACGGGGTTTCACCATGTTGGCCAGGCTGGTCTCGGACTCCTGACCTCATGATCTACTCACCTTAGCCTCCCAATATCTGATCTTGATTCATGATTAGATTTGGTGTCTTCACTTTGTGTGGAATGTCACAGCAGTGAGAGTGTGTCCTTTGTATGCATTATCTCAGCACCTGAGGTCGGTTTGTCCCATGACTGGTGTTGCCAGGGAGGGCCTGAAGGCTGGGGACTGGGCTGCCAGTCCCGCAAAATGAGTGGGGACTTGCAGCATCTCCTCTAGGCCCGACCATGGCTGCCAGTGGACCAATCGATAAGCACCCTTTCTCTGGAGAGAGCTAGGAAGCACACATGTTTTAAAATTCTATTTATTTTTTGTAGAGATGGGGTCTTACTATATTGTCCAGGCTCCTCTCAAATTTTTGGGCTCAAGCGATTCCCCCACCTTGACCTCACAAAGTGTTGGGATTACAGGCATGAGCCACTGCATCTGGCCGACATATTTTATAATAGTAGGTTCAGGTTGATACCTCTGATTCCATTCCAACACCAGCAGCGTTTTCCTGAGCATTCTTCATTTCCTCTTTCTAGCTCTCTTCTCCCACAGTGGGAACCCCAGCTCCCAACCACATCGATATACTTACTTATATGCTCGATCATATGATACATACACACAAGAATTTAAGAATTGCTGCAGCTATACCACTGCCTCCCACACCTGATGAATAGGGTTCAGGATTTCTCTGCAGTTCGTTTTGTCCTCTGAGAATATGAGTATTTATATATCTTTTTCCTTTTTCTTTTTCTTTTTTTTTTTTTGAGATGGAAACTCTCTTTGTCACTCAGGCTGGAGTGCCCTGGCCATGATCTTGGCTTACTGCCAAGCCTCCACCTCCTGGGTTCAAGCGATTCTCCTGCCTCAGCCTCCCTAGTAGCTGTGATTACAGGTGTGCACCACCATGCCCAGCTAAATTTGGTTGTTTTAGTAGAGACCGAGTTTCACCATGTTGCCCAGGCTGGTCTTAAACTCCTTACCTTGGGTATGCCATCTGCCTCAGCCTCCCAAAGTGCTAGAATTACAGGCATGAGCGCCCAGTCTATCTTTTCAAATTATTCTATTCAGAAGTTACTTGGATTAATTCCTTTATTTGGTCTTCTGTATAATGATGATGATTATTGTTATTTTTTGAGATGGAGTTTTGCTCTTGTTGCCCAGGCTGGAGTGCAATGCCGTAATCTCGGCTCACTGCAACCTCTACATCTCGGGTTCAAGTGATTCTCCTGCCTCAGCCTCCCGAGTACCTGGGATTACAGGCATGCACCACCATGCCCAACTAATTTTGTTATTTTCAGTAGAAATGGGGTTTCTCCGTGTTGGTCAGACTGGTCTCAAACCCCTGACCTCAGGTGATCCACCCGCCTTGGGCTCCCAAAGTGCTGGGATTACAGGCATGAGCCACCACTCCTGACCTATTATTATTCTTTTTTTTCTTTTTTCTTCAGATAGAGTCTTGCTCTGTTGCCCAGGCTGGAGTGCAATGGTGTGATCTCAGCTCATTGCAACCTCTTCCTCCCGGGTTCAAGTGATTCTTCTTCCTCAGCCTCCCAAGTAGCTGGGATTACTGGTGCCTGCCACCATGCCCTGCTAATTTTTGTATTTTTAGTAGAGACAGGTGTTCACCATGTTGGTCAGTCTGGTCTGGAACTCCTGACCTCGTGATCCACCCACCTCGGCCTCCCAAAGTACTGGGATTACAGGCATGAGCCACTGTGCCTGGCCCTTATTATTCTTCTTAAATATGTTTAAGTTCACTTGCTCCCATTTGCATTCAGTTTTAGTTTTCACTCATTGCTTTATTGATTTAATTTCCTTTATGAATATATAAAACATTAACAAGGTTCTCAAACCAAAACTACTCCAAAAGGTCTCCTAGAGAAACGCCATTTCCTCTCCATCTCCTCCAACTAATTTCCACCCAGCCCCCAGTTACTAAATATTTTTTTAGTTTTTGGTTATCTACAGAAAGAACCTTTTGATCCAGCTTATCAGTTTGACTTCATACCTCTTTAAAATCTCTTTCATGGGCAGTTGCTGATGAGGAGGGTCCATATTTGGAAACCTCAACAGCTTCACTCCTTATTGGAGAAAGCATGGGGGCCGAAAGGAAAGACTCTGAGAATGAGGTTGTAAGAAGTGGCACTGACTTTTTTCCCTCCTCCCCCAACAGAAGATTCACCACCTGCAGCACATGGTCAGCACTCTTATCCTCTCCTCCACCTCTGCCTATGCCGTCAGGTAGGGACTGCGGGCATTCTGGGCTGGTGGGACCCAGACGACTCAGGACGCACCTTTCCATAAGGCAGTGGTGGGAAGGTTCAGGGCTTAAGAAATAAACGTCAGAACCTACTTTTCCCCCCATTACATGCTCCTGTTCTCTCTCTCCCCCATCAGTTCCCCAGCTCCACAGGCAAGGTCCTGTTCTCTTTCTTGGGCATGTAAATCAACCTCTACTGACCACATCTAGCACGTAAGAATGCATCTAGTGGCCGTGCTCTGTGGCTTATGCCTGTAATCCCAGCACTTTGGGAGGCCAGGGCGGGTGGATTGCTTGAGCTCAGGAGTTTGAGAGCAGCCTGGCCAACATGGTGAAAACCCCATCCCTACCAAAAATACAAAAACTTAGCTGAGCATGGTGGCGGGTGTCTGTGGTCCCAGCTACTTGGGAGGCTGAGGTGGGAGGATGGCCTGAGTCCCGGGGGCAGAGGTTGCAGTGAGCTGAGATTTCGCCACTGCACTCCAGCCTGGGCGGCAGAGTGAGACTCCGTCTCAAAAGAAAAGTGCATCTAGCATGTAAGAATGCAGAGAGAATTAAGATGTGCACATATAGGGCAGCAGGGGTCCTGGAGCCTGCAAGCATCTGGCGAATTTGTTATTTGTCAGTATAGGTTGCAAGGGACAGATATTTTTTCGGGCCACCTTCAGATAGAGACATGCTGTAAGGAGCTGAGGGGCTGAAGCTGCTTTAGGTGTTGGCTTCTCTCTGCCTCTCTGAGGCTCTCTCCCATCCCTGCCTCTTTCTCAGCTTCGCCCTCTTCTCCTTTTGCTCCAAATGATTTTTCCCTTCCACTGAGTTCTTCTCTGGCTTTTGTTGCCTCATGGTCCCTGACAGACATCAGTGATGGCCCAAGTCTGCCTTAGGGTCTCTGTGATTTCTCTCTCTCTGTTAAAATAAACATGGCAAAATTCACAATTTTAAAGTGTACAGTTTAGCAGCATTTAGTACATTCAGACGGTTGTGCAGCCCCATCACTTCTATCTAGATCTAAAATATTTCCATCACTCCCAAAGGAAACTGTACCTGCCACTGGAAGTGCAGGAATCCTCAGTGCTTAGTCTTACTTGGGAGAAAGAATTCTGCCAAGTGACTGATTTAGCCAACAAAGAGACTGTACTGAAGGCAAATAGGGAGCAGAGAGTTTACATAGACAGAGGCAGTGCACGCTGAAGGATGAGGAGAGCAGGCTGTTGAAAGAAAGTGAGCCGGCAGCACTCCGAGAGTTTTGTGTTGGCTTTTTTTTTTTCTTTTTTTGAGATGGAGTCTCGCACTGTCCCCCAGGTTGGAGTGCAGTGGCATGGTCTCACCTCACTACAACTTCCATCTCCCAGGTTCAAGCAATTCTTGTGTCTCAGTCTCCTGAGTAGCTGGTACTGCAGGTATGCACTACCACCGCTTGACTAATTTTTGTATTTTTAGTAGAGACCAGGTTTCACCATTTTGGCCAGGCTGGTCTCGAACTCCTGACCTTCTGTGATCCACCCTCCTTGGCTTCCCAAAGTGTTAGAATTACAGGCGTGAGCCACCATGCCTAGCCAGTGTTGGCTTCTTAATGTGATGTTGGACTCCTTTTTGAAGTTCTTGCTTCTGTCTTTTTTTTTGAGATGGAGTTTCACTCTTGTTGCCCAGGCTGGAGTGCAATGTCATGATCTTGGCTCACTGCGACCTCTGCCTCCTGGGTTCAAGTGATTCTCCTGCCTCAGGCTCCCAAGTAGCAGGGATTACAGGCATGAGCCACCATATCCGGGTAATTTTTGTAATTTTAGTAGAGACAGGGTTTCTCCATGTTGGTCAGGCTGGTCTTGAACTCCTAACCTCAGGTGATCTGCCTACCTCAGCCTCCCAAAGTGCTGTGATTACAGGCATGAGCCACTGTACTCGACATTTTTTTTTTTTTTGAGACAGAGTTTTGTTATTATAACCCAGGCTGGAGTGCAGTGGCGCAATTTCAGCTCACTGCAACCTTTGCCTCTTGGGTTCAAGCGATTCTCTCTCAGCCTCCCGAGTAGCTGGGATCACAGACATGCACCACCAGGTCTGGCTAATTTTTGTATTTTTAGTAGAGACAGGGTTTCACCACATTGACCGGGCTGGTTTTGAACTCCGGACCTCAGGTGATTCTCCTGACTTGGCCTCCCAAAGTGCTGGGATTACAGGCTGAGCCATCATGCCCAGCCAGGTCTCTGCTTTTGTGACCACAGGATAACTGCAACCTGATTCAGCCCCATTCCTGTGACCATAGGCTAGACCTGCCCATCCAGGACACCAGCTGACGCCGCCCCATTCCCCACAACCTCAGGCTGACCCCACCCATCCCCAGGACCCCAGGCCGACCCCCATCCAGCCTCTAGCCATCCTGACCCCGGCTGATCCCCCCAGGGAGGAGGCGAAGGCCAAGATGGGCTTGCTGCGGGAGCGCGCAGAGAAGGAAGAGGCCCAGAGCGCGACGGAGGCGCAGGTCCTGCAGCGGCAGATCTCGCACCTGGAGCAGCTGCACTGCTTCCTCAAGCTCAAGCACAACGACCGGCAGCTGGATCCCAACGTCCTGTGGAAGCGTGAAAAGCGGGGTGAGGCTGGGGTTGCTGCCTCCTTGTCTCGAGGGCCTGGCTGCCCCAGGAGGCACTGTGCTTTGTTTGCCCAGGCCCAGGAGGTCACTGCACTGGAGGCCACCCAGGAGGCTGACCTGCTGCTTTCTCTTCCCCCAGCTCGGGAGGTGGCTAAGGGCCTCCGGAAGACCTCCCAGGAGACGCTGGTGCTTCGCTATGAGGATGCCCTGAATAAACTGTCCCAGCTGACGGGGGAGAGCAACCCTGACCTGCTGGTACAGAAGTATCTGGAGAGTGAGTTGGGGCCCTGGGTGGAGGAAGGAGGCCAGGGGCCCAGGCACCCCCTGAGTCTAGTGCAGGCGGCCTTGGCTCTGGCCCTCGATACAAGGTATCAAGTCCCAGGCCTGATACCTTGTTCCCCGGCACAGGACTCTTCCATCTGCGTGTGCTTGGTGTACCCCCATCCCTCTCCCACCCCTGGCTCCCATCTGATCCCCTTTTTCTGTGTTTCTGTCCCTGCATCTCTCTGCCCACCTGTTTCTTTGGGATTTGCTGTGTGTCTGTCTCTCCTCTCCTCTGCCCCTCTTCACTCCTGGGTCCGGTCTCACTCTCCACATCCTTCCCTCAACCCGTCCCTCTCTGTTTCTCTCCTCCCGCCTGCATCTCCCCATCTCCCTTGATGTTTGCGGGTCTCTGGCTTTCCCTCTCTGCCTTGTGGTGTGTTTTTGGGGCCCCTGTGCCGTATCTTTCCATGCCTCTGTGTCTGTGACTCCTCTCTGTTCATTTCTCTGCCATGGTCTCTGTGTGGCCTTCCTCAACCTCACTTTCTCTGGCCTTCTGTGTGCCTCTGTCTCTGCATCTTTGTCTCCCTCTCTCTGGGCCCCATCTTGCCCAACTCTCCCAGTTGAGGAGCGAAACTTTGCTGAGTTTAACTTCATCAATGAGCAGAACTTGGAGCTGGAGCATGTGCAGGAAGAGATCAAGGAGGTGAGTGAGGCCTGCCCTCCCCATCACCTCCTCTACTTCCTGCCCCTCCCCTCCCTCAGCCCCTCTCCTGCCTCCTCTTCCCAGTTCTGCACCCCCAACTTCTGAGGCTGCCATCCGGCCCAGTGTTCAGCCCTGTCCCCACAGATGCAGGAGGCTTTGGGGAACGCACGTGCCAGCGAGGATGACCGGAATTTGCTGCAGGAGCAGCAGCAGAAGGAGTTGCAGCAACGTGTGGACAAGGTGCGCTCAGAGGCCGAGCACCTTGAGGCCTGCTTCCAGGATGTGCGGGAAAAGCTGGAGAAGCTCAAGGCTGGTGAGCACCCATGGGCTGTCGCTCCCAGGCCTGGTTTCTCCACTTGGAAGGACACCATCATCCCATGGAGGGCCCAGTCCTGGACTGGCAGCTTGGAGGCATTGCATGGACAACCTGGTCCACTTGCTTATCATTTGTCCCGTATCTGTTCATCCATCCATTGTCCATCCATCCATCCCTCCATCTGACCCATATCCATCCATCCATCCAGGATCTGTCCCTTCAACTGACCCATATCCATCCATACATCTATACGTCATCCATCCATCCATCCACCCAGGGTCTGTTCCTCCAGCTGTGCCATGTCCATCAATCCATCAGGATCTATCTCTTCATCTGTTCCATGTGCATCCATCCATCCAGGGTCTATTTGTTGATCTGTCTCATCTATCCCTCCAGCTGCTCCACATCCATCTGTTCATCCATCTATCTGCAATGACATTTGACTTTTGCTGGGCACTTACTATGCCTTATTCTACTTGTTTCACAAAATACTAAAAAATAGATGCTATCCCTCCAACTGCCCCTATCCATCACCCACCTACCCATCCATCCATCTAACCATGGATCATTCATGTACATCTGTCTGTCTATACATGCCTAGTAGTAGAACTGCTGGGTCACAGGGTAGGTATATGTTGATACTTATTAGAAAATGCCAAACAGTTTTCCACACTGGTTGCAAGACTTTATGCCCTTGCCATGTGAACACCTGAGAGTCCCGGATGCTCCACACCCTCTCCACCACTTTCTACTGTAAGCCATTTTTTTTAAATTTTTTATTTTTTGAGCCATTTTAATATTAGCCATCTAATGTGTGTGCAGTACTATCTCTGTTAATTTAATTGGCATTTCCCTGGTGACTAATAATATTGAGCATCATATTGGCCATTTAGATATCTTTTGTGAAGTTCCTTTTCAATGTGTACCTGTTTTTTCAAAAATTGGGTTTATCTTGTTATAACTGACAGGAGTTCTTTGTATATTCTAGATACTAGACTTTTGATAAATATTTTCTCTCTCTCTCTCTCTCTCTCTCTCTCTCTCTTTTTTCAGATGGAGTCTTGCTCTGTAGCCCAGGTTGGAGTACAGTGATGCGATTTCAGTTCACTGTAACCTCTGCCTCCCCGGTTCAGGCAATTCTCTGCCTCAGCCTCCCAAGTAGCTGGGATTACAGGCTTGTACCATCATGCCTCGCTAATTTTTGTATTTTCAGTAAAGATGGGGTTTCACCATTTTGGCCAGGCTGGTCTTGAACTCCTGACCTTGTGATCTACCTGCCTCGGCCTCCCAAAGTGTGGGATTATAGGCATAAGCCACCATGGCCGACCTGTAAATATTTTCTCTTGTACTATAGCTTGCCTTTTCAGTTTTTTGGTGGTGAACTGAAGTTTCTTAGTTTTGAGGCAATCTGATTCATAAAATTTTCTTTTTGTAGTCAGTGACTTTGTGGCCTGCCTAAGAAATTTTTGCCTGTCCTGGGGTTACAAAGGCATTGTCCTGTGTTTTCTCCTAGAGGTTTCATTGTTTGAGCTCCGACACTGAAGTCTGTGACTTATGTCAAATTAATTTGTATGGATGGTATGAGGTAGGGATTTAGAGTTTCCTTTAAAAAAAACTTCTTTTTAAATGGATGAGAGGTCTCTGTGTTTCCCAGGCTGGCATCGAACACGTAGTCTTGTCTCCTCAAGCGCCTGGACAACTGTCCTGAGCCACCACGGCCCCCCCACCTTTTGCTCTTGTTGCCCAGGCTGGAGTGCAGTGGTGTGATCCCAACTCACTGCAACCTCTGCCTCCTGGATTCAAGCAATTCTCATGCCTCAGCCTCCCAAATAGCTAGGATTACAGGAGCCTGCCACCATGCCTGGCTAATTTTTATATTTTTAGTAGAGATGGGGTTTCAGCATGCTGGCTAGGCTGGTCTCGAACCCCTGACCTCAGGTGATCTGCCCGCCTTGGCCTCCCAAAGTGCTGGGATTACAGGTGTGAGCCACCGCACCTGGCCTTAAAAATTTTTTTTTTTAATTTAGTTTTTTTTTGTTTTTGTTTTTTTATGACGATGGGGTTTCACCATGTTGATCAGGCTGGTCTTGAACTCCTGACCTCAGGTGATCTGCCCGCCTTGGCCTCCAAAGTGCTTGGATTACAGGCGTGAGCCACCATGCCCGGCCAATTTAGTTATCTTTTGAGAGAAGTTTCATTCTTTTGCCCAGGCTGGAGTGCAGTGGTGCGATCTCAGCTCACCGCAACCTCCGCCTCCTGGGTTCAGGCAATTCTCCTGCCTCAGCCTCCTGAGTAGCTGGGATTACAGGCACGCACCACCATTCCCAGCTAATTTTTGTATTTTTAGTAGAGACGGGGTTTCACCACGTTGACCAGGCTGGTCTTAAACTCCTGACCTCAAGTGATCCACCCGCTTTGGCCTCCTAAATTGCTGGGATTACAGGCATAAGCCACTGTATTTTTTTTTTCTTTCTTTTTTTTTCTAGGCTGATGAGTTGGATCCTCCTGAAAAATGTTTTTTTTTTTTTTTTTTTTTTTTTTTTTTTTTTTTTTTAGAGGTGGGATCTTACTATGTTGTCCAGGCTAGTCTTGAACTCTTGGACTCAGGCCATCCTCCTGTCTTGGACTCCCAAAGTGCTGGGATTACAGGCCACCACGTCTGGCCGTTTTTTTTTTTTTTTTTTTAAATCCTTTCTGTGAGTATCAGTTGCATCCACCTGTGTGTCTTCCCATCCTTTTTTTTTTTTCTATTATTATTATTTTTTTAAAAAATTTGAGTACCGTGGAGTGACCTTCACTCACTGCAGCCTCCCTCTCCTGGGTTCAAGCAATTCTCCTGCCTCAGCCTCCTGAGTAGCTGGGATTACAGGCACGCACCACCATGCCCAGCTAATTTTTATATTTTTAGTGGAGACAGGGTTTTGCCATGTTGGCCAGGCTGGTTTCAAACCCCTGACTTTAGGTGATCCATTCGCCTCGGCTTCCCAGAGTGCTGCGATTACAGGTGTGAGCCACCGCGCCCAGCCCCATCTTTCTTATTTTTGGGGATGTAGCCATGAAGAGCACTGAGGAGTCAGGCTGTCCTGATTTTTTTTAAATTTATTTTTATTTTTAATGTTGTTTTGAGATGGACTCTCACTCTGTTTCCCAGGCTGGAGTACAGTGGTGTGATCTTGGGTTACTGCAACGTCTGTCACCCGGGTTCAAGTGATTCTCCTGCCTCAGCCTCCACAGTAGCTGGGACTACAGGCGTGTGCTACCTCTCCCGGCTAGTTTTTTTGTATTTTTAGTAGAGATGGGATTTCATCATGGTGGCCAGATTGGTCTCAAACTCCTGACCTCAAATGATCTGCCTGTCTTGGCCTCCCAAAGTGCTAGGATTACAGGTGTGAGCCACTGGGCCCAGTCTGTCCTGGGTTTGAATCTCATCTCCACCAACTGTGAACCTTGGTGTGCGGCTTCCTCCTTCTGAGCCCCTCTGGGAATGGGTATGGCAGTGCCTACTTTGCAGCGTTGCCATGGGAATTAGAAGGAATGACGGATGGAGAGAGGTGGGGTGTGGTGGGGAGTGAGCCGGACAGCCAGCTTGGGGCACAGTCGGAGTCCACAGGTGGGCAGGTCCTCCTTCCCTCTGTCGTGATGGCTGTGCTGAGCCCCGTGCTAGGTGATGTGGGCACAGTGGGGAGAGGCCCTGGAAGGGACTGACATGGACACTGGGTACTCATCACTCAGGCTAGGATGAAGGACACCCAGGCGAGAGGAGGACTGGGGGTGAGAGGAGGCCCAAACTCAGTCTTCGGTGCAAGACCATCATTTGTGGGGCCCAGTGCAGAATGAGGGGCCCCTTGTTAAAACATTGTCAAGACTTTCAAGATAGGAACCGCTCACCACTGCCTGGGTCTCACACTCACGAAGCCGGCTCTGTGGGGGTGACTGGGAAGGCTTCCTGGAGGCAGTGACACTTGAGGCTGACTTTGAAGGACTAGCCAGGGAGAGAGGGAGGCACAGTCGTGCCCTTCCCCTGCCTGGTTGGCTGAGCTCGGGTGAATCTCTTTTGGTCTCTGAGCCTTGACCAAAGTCTCTGTAGAATGAGGCAGTGGGGACCTGCGTAGGGAGAGAGCTGGCATCCGGCCAGCGCTGCCAGATCCCTGACAGCGGGCATTCCGTGACGCAGGTATCCAGCTCCTCTTCACCAAGGCCTGCTGTGATGGCAGCGTGATCGACGACCTCCTTGGGACCAAGACCAGCATGCGAGACCGAGACCTCGGCCTCTTCCTGAGCCTCATCGAGAAGCGGCTGGTGGAGCTCCTCACAGTGCAGGCCTTCCTGGGTGCCCAGGTCGGGGGCACAGGGAGCCAGGGTGGGGGCTGCAGGGAGCGGGGCAGGAGGCAGGAGGCAGGCCTCGGGGTGGGCCCCAGCTGACCGCAGGCTCCACACTCTCCAGAACTTCACCTCCTTGGCCAACGCTGCCCTTCTGGTGTTGGGCCAGAACCTAGAGGACTTTCCGAAGAAGATGGCTCCACTGCGGCCCCCGGACAATCTGTGAGGCACAGGGCAGGAGGGACGCAGAGGGGAGGGGCTTCTGTCGGAGCAGAGGGAGCACACAGGGTAGAGCGTTTTGGGGGGCTTTTGGGAACCGGCTGGTGGATGAGGCCCTGGGGGGTTAGAAGATGAAGTGTGGCCGGGCACGGTGGCTCACGCCTGTAATCCCAGCACTTTGGGAGGTGGAGGCGGGCGGATCACCAGGTCGGGAGTTTGAGACCAGCCTGGCCAACATGGCGAAACCTCGTTTCCCTACTAAAAATACAAAAATGAGCCAGGTGTGGTGGTGTGGGCCTGTAATCCCAGCTACTCAGGAGGCAGAGGCAGGAGAATCGCTTGAAGCTGGGGAGGTTGCAGTGAAGCAAGATCATGCCACTGCACTCCAGCCTGGGCAACAGAGTGAGACTCCATCTCAAAAAAAAAAAAAGATGGGGCCGCGCGCGGTGGCTCAAGCCTGTAATCCCAGCACTTTGGGAGGCCGAGGCAGGTGGATCACAAGGTCGAGAGATCGAGACCAACCTGGTCAACATGGTGAAACCCCGTCTCTACTAAAAATACAAAAAAAAAATTAGCTGGGCATGGTAGCATGTGCCTATAATCCCAGCTACTCAGGAGGCTGAGGCAGGAGAATTGCCTGAACCCAGGAGGCGGAGGTTGCGGTGAGCCGAGATCGCGCCATTGCACTCCAGCCTGGGTAACAAGAGCGAAACTCCGTCTCAAAAAAAAAAAAAGATGAAGTGTGTGCTTCAAAGGAGCCAGAGGAGTAGGGCTTGGCGCCTGTGTGGGAAAACGGGGCCCTGGGTACCCCAGAAGGGGAGGGCACTCGGGGCTGGTGGGAGAATGGCTGAGGCTCCCTGAGATTATCAGGAATGGCCACTGGCCTCGAGGACTGAGAGTCTAGTCTTTTCCGGTTTTCCTTCCCCTCCCCAGAGAAGACCCCCCGGGTTTTGAGGCCAGAGATGACTACCCCATGAGCAGGGAGGAGCTGCTGTGCCAGGTGGAGAAGCTGGTGAGAGTGGGGCCCACGGGGGTGAGGCCAGGCCTCAGTGCGCATCTGGGGGCCCAGCTCACCTTCCCTGCAGGTGGAGCTCCAGGAGCAGGCAGAGGCACAGCGCCAGAAGGACCTGGCTGACGCCGCTGCGAAGCTGGATGGCACCCTGGGCGTGGACCTGGCCAGCACCCAGAGGAATGGCTCCAGCACCGCCCTGGTGCCCTCCTTGCAGCCCCGTGCCATCCCTGGGTCCATCTTGAGCCACGGGACTAGCAAAGACCGCAGCCCTCATGGCCGTGTCACTTTTGGCCCCCTCAGCCCCACTGCGGGGCATTTGCCCAGCCGCGCCACCCACGGTGACCCAAGCACTGGCCACATGACCTTGGGCTCCACCAGTGCCTCGAGTGGGGGCCATGTGACCCTCAGACCTGTCAGTGCCAGCAGCTACCTGGGCTCCACGGGATACGTGGGGTCCAGCAGAGGCGGAGAAAGCGCGGAGAGGGGTGTGGAGAGCAGAGGCACTGCGTCCGACTCCAGCGGAGGCCTCGGGTCCAGCAGAGGCCGTGCCTCCAGCCCCGGCCCCGGCTCCTCCACCAGCAAAGACTCCCGGGGCTAACACGAGGGGCACGCGGTCCCCACCCTGTCCTGGCTGTCTGCGGGGTCTCTTGTGTCTCTGCTTCCCTGTTTGCCTTGTGGGTCTCCGTCTTCTCCCAGTCCCAGGCCTGTCTTTTTGCCCCCCACCTGTTTCCATCCGCCCTTCCTCACTGCCACGTCTGTCTCCCCGTCCTTCTCTCTGCTCCTGAGCCTGCTTTTCCTTTTGCCTCCCGACCTCCTGTTCTCTTGGCTTCCTGGTCAGTCTCTTGTCTTGTCTCCATAACTGTCCCTTCCCTGTCTGCTGAGCCCTGACTCCCTGTGGGTCCCCCACCTCCCGCTTCTGGCTCGCTCTCCTGTCCATCTCCCAGGCTATCCATGCATCCTGCGTCCCTGTCTCTGTAGCTCCTCGCTCCCCAAGAGCCCTCCAGTGCTGACAGGCAGGGAAAGAGTCAGCGCCAAGACGCCAGGTTCAGCATGGCAAAATGGGAGTGTGGGAAATAAAAGCATCTGTGTGGAGAGCAGGCGTCAGGCATGGCTGCTTCCTCCACGTCAGGCCTGGGGGTACATCTGTGACCCTGTCCCGATTCTCTGCCATTCATTCATTTACTCAGCATTTATTCTTTTTTGTTGAGACAGTTTCCCTCTTGCCACCCAGGCTGGAATGCAGTGGCATGATCTCGGCTCCTTGCAGCCTCCGCCTCCTGGATTCAAGTGATTCTCCTCCCTCAGCCTCCTGAGTAGCTGAGATTATAGGCACCCACCACCACTCCCGGCTGATTTTTGTATTTTTAATAGAGATGGGGTTTTGCCATGTTAGCCAGGCTGGTCCTGACCTCAGGCGATCTGCCTGCCTCAGCCCCCCAAAATGTTGGGATTACAGGTGTGAGCCCCCACACCCAGCCTATTCATCCATTTTTCTGAGACCGCTATATACCAGGCTCTTCTGGAGCTGTGTTGGTCACAGCAGGCTGGGCTGTGTGGGAGTCACAGCTGCAGGTTCTCCGTGGTCCTCACGCAGCAGAAGTTTCTCTCCTCTGGGCCAGCCAAGCGCTCTGCTCCATATCACCCATGTGCCCTGGGCCCATGGCACAGCCAACATCTGGAGTACTGCCAGCCCTTGGGCACTGGGAAGAAGAGAAGACGGCACAGTAGGCAGTGACTCCTGAAGCTTGGACCTGATAGGACACCTGTCCTCTCCACTCACACTCATGAGTCAGAGCAGGTCACCTGGTCACGCCCAGCTTCAAAGGGGTGCCGGAAAGTGCAGTCTTTGTGTATCTGGAGGGAGAGAAAGGAACGATTATTTATGGACAGCCTTAACACCGGCCACAGGGTCACAGAGAAAAAGCTGACCCTGACCCTTTCCTGCAGTGGGGCTGGGTGTAGGAGTGAGAGGGCTGAGAACACCATGGATAACTCTTTCCTGTAGTTGAGTCATGCCAAATGCCCTGTCAAGATTAAATCCATTGGTATCAAGCTATATAAATAAACTTTTTTAAAAATTCAGGCTGGGCAGCTGGGCATGGTGGCTCACACCTGTAATCCCAGCACTCTGGGAGGCTGAGGTGGGAGGATCACCTGAGGTCGGGAGTTTGAGACCAACCTGACTAACATGGAGAAACCCCGTCTCTAGTAAAAATTCAAAATTAGCCGGGTAGTGGTGCATGCCTGTGATCCCAGCTACCTGGGAGGCTGAGGCAGGAGAATTGCTTGAACCTGGGAAGTGGAGGTTGCAGTGAGCCGAGATTGTGCCACTGCACTCCAGCCTGGGTGACAGAGTGAGACTCTGTCTCAAAAAAACAACAAATAAGAAAACAAAGAATTGAATGTCATGTAGCCTTGTTGGGACTATGGAAAAGGAAGAAAGCCACAGGCTCATTCAGTGTTGGGAAGGTCTGGATGATCCTGCATGAACCAAAATGACTTGAACTTTATGTGCAGACACGCCCCTGCCATCCGTCCCCAGCTGACTGCGTGCTGTATCATAGCCATTCTCCAAAGCAGGGTGGGATGCTCTGGTTTCACTACAGATTTTCCACTTAAGCATTTTTGGAATCAGCTTAGTAACTCCCCTTTCTATACGACCTTTATTTTTTGCTTTTCTATTTTTATTTTTGAGACAAGTTCTTGCTTTGTCACCCAGGCTGGTGTTCAGTGGCATGATCACAGCTCACTGCAGCCTCCACCTCCCAGGCTCAAGTGATCCACCTGCCTCCCCCTCCGAGAGTGCTGGGATTACCGGCACGAGCCACAGTGCCTGGCCTCTTTTTCTTTTTTCTTTTTTTTGAGATGGAGTCTCGCTGTGTCACCCATGCTGTAGTACAGTCACCCAGACAGTCTCGGCTCACTGCAACCTCTGTCCCCCGGGTTCAAGCGATTCTCCTGCCTCAGCCTCCCGAGTAGCTGGAATTACAGGCACCCGCCACCATGCTCCACTAGTTTTTTTTTGTATTTGAGACAGGTTTCACCATGTTGGCCAGGCTGGTTTCAAACTCCTGACCTCAAGTGATCCGCCCACCTTGGCCTCCCAAAGTGCTAGGATTACAGATATGAGTCACTGTGTTACAGCCTCTTTTGCTTTTTAAGAAATAATTTTGTTTCATATTTAAAGCACTTGTATTAGTTAATTATTTGTGTTCAGCAATTTTTTATTTTTATTTTTTTGAGACAGGGTCTGACTCTCTTACCCAGGCTGGAGTGGAGTGGCACAATCTTGGCTCATGGCAAACTATGCCTCCTGGGTTCAAGAGATTCTCATGTCTCAGCCTCCTGAGCAGCTGGGCTGCTGGGACTACAGGTGTGCTCGACCACACCTGGCTAATTTTTGTATTTTTCATAGAGTCAGGGTTTCACATGTTGGCCAGGCTGGTCTCGAACTCCTGGCTTCAAGTGATCCTCCCACCTTGGCCTCCCAAAGTGAAAAAGACATTTTAAAGTCTGAGCTTTGGAATGCCTTTAATTTACATGGTATAGTGTAAGAGAACAGCATGCGAGTGCAGCTCGATCTTACCTGCAGAAGCGGAGGAAGGACTGGATTAAATTTTACTGAATAGCAGCGAAATTAGAGTTATTTAGTCATTTTCCTCCTCCAGGAGTTAGGCGGAAATGGGCATTGCGACATCTAGGCTGTGTGGCCTTGGGCAAGTGTCTTCAGCTCTCTGAGCCCAGTTACTCCTGAAATCAGAGCTGGCAGCCATTCCCAGAGGCAGCTCTGTGTGGTGGGGAAGGCTCACCCTCACTGGGAGGCAGTATGGGTGTGAACCGGCTCTTCATCGTAATCTCTGTCAAGTGAAAACACATGGGGATAATCTAGAACAGTGGAAAACCCTATCCCGGCTCCTCAGAGAGTGAGGAAACCATTTTAAGGTGACCTGACCAGCATTTAAAAATAGGAATAGGCTGGGCACGGTGGCTCACTCCTGTAATCCCAGCACGTTAGGAGGCCGAGGTGGGCAGATCACCTGAGGTCAGGAGTTTGAGACCAGCTTGGCCAACATGGTGAAACCCCATCGCTACTAAAAATACAAAAATTAGCTGGGCATGGTGGCGGTAGCCTGTAATCCCAGGTACTCGGGAGGCTGAGGCAGGAGAATCGCTTTAACCTGGGGGACAGAGGTTGCAGTGAGCCGAGATTGTGCCTGGGTGACAGAGCAATGCTCCGTCTCACCAAAAAAAAAAAAAAAAAAAAAAAAAAATAGAGTGGAATATAAAGCATCATGATGTAATACAGGGTGTTGTTTTTAAAACTAAAGTTTGTTTTTAAGTGTACATGTTTATGGGGTGTGGTGTGATGCTTCAATACATATATAAATTGTGCAATGATCAAATCAAGGTTATTAGCAAATCCATCATCCTAGACGTTTGTCATTTCTTTACGGTGAGAACACGAAAAATCCTCTCTTCTAGCTATTTTGAACTCCATTATTGTTGACTATAGAGGGTGGTATTCTTTTGTAGAAGTATGCTGGTGCAGCCAGGCGAGGTGACTCACACCTGTAATCCCAGCACTTTGGGAGGCCAAGGCAGGCAGATCACCTGAGGCCAGGAGTTTGAGACCAGCCTGGCTAACATGGTGAAACCCCATCTCTACTAAAAATACAAAAATTAGCCGGGTGTGGTGTCATGTGCCTGTAATCTCAGCTACTCATGAGGCTGACGCAGGAGAATCGCTTGAACCCTGGAAGCAAAAGTTGCAGTGAGCCGAGATCATGCCACTGCAGTCCAGTGTGGGTGACAGAACAAGACCTTATCTCAAAAAAAAAAAAAAAAAAAAAAAAAAAAAGTATGCAGATGCAAAACGGTATCTTAGTGGGCGTCAGAATTTTGGAAGCCAGTGGTAGACAGTCCTTAGTTTCCCACAATGATTTTTAGACAACTGCCCATTCACCAATTCCAACGCCCTCGCCCCACTACCCAAATGAACATTTCTGGTCTCTGGGTGGTGCTGCCTTAGCAGGATCCTACCAGGGGGCCCCGCCCGGAGTGAGTTTTGCCCCATCCCAGACTCAGATCGTCCAAGCCAGTGATTTCCTTCTGGTCAGGTGTCTTCCCGAGGATCCACTTTACTGGGACTAGCTCTGACCTTGAATGCATTTCCAGAAGCACAGCCCTACAGAGAGCTTCAGGTAGCCAGGAAGGGAAGTGCCTCTCCTGAGACCGTCCTGGCTTCAGTCCATGGCACTCACTGTATGCCTCCCACACCAGAGGAGGTCCTGGTCCCCGGTCCCAGGGATGAGGACAAAAATTAACAGGGCTTGTTGGCGCATGCCTGTAATCCCAGCTACTCCAGATGCTCAGGCAGGAGATTTGCTTAAACCCAGGAGGCCAAGGTTGCAGTGAGCTGAGAACCCGCCACTGCACTCCAGCCTGGGTGACGGAGCCAGACCCTGTCTCAGGGCACAGCTGCTGTGCCCGACTAGTATTTCATTCCTTTCAAAGTCTGAACAGTATTCCATGCTATGTAGTATTAAAAAGTAAAATGTATGGCCGGGCATGATGGCTCACCCCTGTAATCCCAGCACTTTGGGAGGCCAAGGCAGATGGATCACCCGAGGTTGGGAGTTCAACTACCCTGGCTAACATGGCGAAACCCTGTCTCTGCTAAAAATATAAAAATTAGCCAGGCATGGTGGCACATGCCTGTAATTTCAGCTACTCAGGAGGCGGAGGCAGGAGAATCGCTTGAACCTGCAGTGAGCCGAGATCACACCACTGCACTCCAGCCTGGGGGACAGAGTAAGGCTGTCTCAAAAAAGGAAAAAAAAAGTGAAATGTGGCATAAGAAAGTTTCTGACCTCTTCCCCAAATAAACTACCTGCATGTCAGCCCTCCTTTCAGGCTCTCCTTTTCGAGGGTTCCCAAGTCACAACATAAGAAGTCCCAGGAGCTGGGAAGAACCCTCTTGAGCCTTGGTTCAGGTCTGGGCTGAGGGCACTGAAGGATGGTCCTCTACCGCCCTCTAGTGGTTGCAGGTGTCCAACTCCCTTCTGTTTTCTCTGGGTCTTCCTCTCCTCCAGCCGTGCTTCCTGTTCTTGTTTTCTCATCCTGCCCCTTCAAAAACCTGCTGCTTTTTTGGCACCCTCAATATCCCGTTTCACCTGTGCCCTCACTGCTAGGTGGATGTTTTTAAAGAAAACTGGGAACACTGGGAGGCCGAGGCCGGCGGATCACCTGAGTTCGGGAGTTCGAGACCAACCCGACCAAGATGGAGAAACCTCGTCCTCACTAAACATACAAAATTAGCCAGGCGTGGTGGCGCGTGCCTGTAATCGCAGCTACTTGGGAGGCTGAGGCAGGAGAATCGCTTGAACCTGGGAGGCAGAGGTTGCAGTGAGCCGAGATCTCACCATTGCACTCCAGCCTGGGCAACAAGAGCAAAACTCTGTCTCAAAAAAAAGAAAAAGAGAAATAAAATAAATAAATAAATAAATAAATAAATTTGGGAACATTATATATTACTTCACCTGTAAAAATATCACTATGATGGCCAGGTGCAGTGGTTCATGCTTTGAGAGGCCAATGTGGGTGGGTCGCTTGAGCTCAGGAGTTCAAGACCAGCCTGGGCAAAATGGCAAACACTGTCTCTACAAAAAATACAAAAATCAGCTAGTGTGTGGTGCATGCCTGCAGTCCCAGCTACTTGGGAGGCTGAGGTGGGAGGATCGCTTGAGCTCAGGAGGTGGAGGTTGTAATGAGCTGATATTGTGCCACTGCACTCCAGCCTGGCTGACAGAGTAAGACCCTGTATTTAAAAAAAAAAAAAAAATCATTATGTACGTTTAAAAGATGAAGAGTTAAAAAATGCTTTACTCCCTTACAAGTAAAAGTAATCGTAATTCATGAAATCATAAAATATTCTGTTAATGTTGTCATTTCCCTGGTTCTTATTTTTACTTTATAGCTTTGCATAGAGATACAAATCATCCATTGTAATAGTTTTTCTGTGTTAATTCTTTGTTCATCTAATTTTTAATTCTTTGTTGCTGCTTACCTAATTTCCTCCCGCCCCCATAATTTGAACCTTGTTGTTACTGTTGTAGAAAGTAGATCATTTTTTCCTGTTAAATTTTCTTTGATTTCAGTTTTGCCAATTACATCCTTGTGTTGTCATTTAACATGTTTTTTTTCTTTCTTCTTCTTTTTTTCAAGATGGAGTCTCCCTCTGTCACCCAGGCTGGAGGGCAATGGCGTGATCTCAGCTCACTGCCACCTCCACATCCCAAGTTCAAGTGATTCTCCTGCCTCAGCCTCCCAAGTAGGTGGGATTACAGGCGCCTGCCACCATGTCCAGCTAATTTTTTTTTTTTTTTTTTTTTTTTTGTATTTTTAGTGGAGATGGGGTTTTGCCATGTTGGTCAGGATGGTCTCGAACTCCTGACCTCAGGTGATCCGCCTGACCTGGCCTCTAAAGTGCTAGGATTACAGGCTTGAACTACAGTGCCTGGCCATTATTTAGCACGTTTTCCAGCCTTCGAATTTCTTTCAAACTGGTGTTTAGATATGGAGACTCGATCAGATTCAAGTTCACTTGTTCTTTTTTTTTTTTTTTTTTTTTGAGACAGGTCTCATGCAAGAAAGAATTCAGGGCCAGTCTGTAAAGTGAAAGCAAGTTTATTAGGAAAGTGAATGAATAAAAGAATGGCTGCTCCATAGAGATTGCCCATTGTTTTTTTGTTTTTGTTTGTTTGTTTGAGACGGGGTCTCACACTCTTGCGGCCCAGGCAGGAGAGACAATGGCTCCATCTCGGCTCACTGCAACCTCCGCCCTCCGGGTTCGAGGGATTCTCCTTCATCTGTCTCCCGAGTAGTTGGTATTACAGACGTGTGCCACTATGCCTGGATAATTTTTGTATTTTTAGTAGAGATGGAGTTTCACCATGTTGGCCAGGCTGGTCTTGAACTCCTGACCTCGGGTGATCTGTCTGCCTCGGCCTCCCAAAGTGCTGGGATTACAGGTGTGAGCGACTGTGCCCAGCTTTGCTTGCCAAAAAAATTATAACCATTATAAAATTTAATTATAAATTTATAAACCAATAAAAATTATAACCATTATAACAAAAAAAAAAACCATTTTTATGGTTATTTCTTGATGATATGGTAAACAAGGAGTGGATTATTCATGCCTCCCCTTTGTAAACCACACAGGGTAACTTCCTGACATTGCCATGGTATCCATGAACTGTTGTGGCACTGGTGGGAGTGTAGTGGTGAGGATGACCAGAGGTCACTCTTGTCGCCATCTTGGTTTTGGTGGGTTTTGGCCAGCTCCTTTACTGCAACCTGTTTTATCAGCAAGGTCTTTATGACCTCTACCTTGTGCTGACCTCCTATCTCATCCTGTGACTTGAAATGCCTTCACCGTCTGGGAATGCAGCCGGGTAGGTCTCAGCCTCATTTTGCCCAGCTCCTACTCAAGATGGGGTAGTTGGAATTACAGGTGCCACCACACCTGGCTAATTCTGTTTTCTAGTCGTGATGGGGTTTCACCATGTTGGCCAGGCTGGTCTTGAACTCCTGAAGTGAAGTGATCCACCTCAGGATGGAGTTGCTCTGGCTCAAATGCCTCTGACAAAATGCCTGTGGAAGGCGTGTGGTCTCCTGTAGCTAGGACAGCCGCAGTCTGTGGCAGGAGCCTGTAGTCCCTCTGTCCCTTCACTCACCCCTTCCCTAGGAGCCTTTCAGTGCTGGGAACCAGCCCTAGCGTTCAGCTCCCCCACACCACACTCCCAGGTTCCTCGCTCTTCAGTCCTGATGTCTGCATCTCCTCTGTACCAACTCTTCGTGTTTTCTCTCCGAAGACCTTCTCTAGGTATGTTGGTTGACCTAATATTTTGGTTTCTCTTGGTGGGAGAGGTGCTTCCTGGCTGTGTCCACTCAGCCATCATGACCTTTCTCTAGGCATGATTTTGAAAAAAAAATTTTTTTTTTGAGACAGAGTCTTGCTGTGTTGCCAGGATGGAGTGCAGTGGCGCAATCTCGGCTCACTGAAACCTTCAACTCCCTGGTTCAAGTGATTTTCCTGCCTCAGCCTCCCAAGTAGCTGGGACTACAGGTGTGCACCACCACGCCTGGCTAATTTTTGTATTGTAGTAGAGACAGGGTTTCACCATGTTGGCCAGGATGGTCTCAATCTCCTGACCTCGTGATCTGCCCCTCTCTGCCTCCCAAAGTGCTGGGATTACAGGCTTGAGCTACGCTTGTGTGTGTGTGTGTGTGTGTGTGTGTGTGTGTGTGTGTGTGTGTGTGTGTTTCAGACAGAGTCTGACTCTGTCATCCAGGATGGAGTGCAATGGCGCCATAAATGGTTCACTGCAACCTCCACCACCCGGGTTCAACTGATTCACATGCCTCAGCCTCCCAAGTAGTTGAGATTGCAGGCACACACCATCATACCTGACTAATTTTTTTTATTTTTAGTAGAAATGGTGTTTCACCATGTTGGTCAGGCTGGTCTTGAACTCCTGGCCTCAACTGATTCACCTGCCTTGGCCTCCCAAAGTGCTAGGATTACAGGCGTGAGCCACTACGCCTGGCCCTTTACCCTATTTTATTTTATTTATTAATTTATTTTTATTTTCTTTTGAGATGTATTTTTGTCCTGTTGCCCAGGCTGGAGTGCAGCGGTGCCATCTCGGCTCACTACAATCCTCACCTCCCAGGTTCAAGCCATTCTCCTGCCTCAGCCTCCCAAGTAGCTGAGATTACAGGCATTCATCACCATGTTTGGCCAATTTTTGTATTTCTAGTAAAGACAGGGTTTCACCATGTTGGCCAGGCTGGTCTCGAACTCCTGACCTCAGGTGATCCACATGCCTTGGCCTCCCACAGTGCTGGGATTACAGGTGTGAGCCACACTGCTCCTTGCCCTTTACTCTATTTTTAAATAATTGTTTCCTCTGGTACGTATTAACTCCAGTGTCCTTAACCTATGCTGGCTAATACTTGCAGAATTTTACGACAGCCTCATAACCTGGTTCCCTGCCTCCTACCCATTCCCAGCCCACCATTCCCAGCCCAGCCTCCATCATCTCCACTGCTTGGAAGCGTCAGCACCCTGCTGTCTGCCTTGCCTAGTTACCACTCGCTTTCAGTCTAAAGACCAAAAGATTTTGCCTGTCATTTTTGGATTTTCAACTTCTAACTCTTGCCTGCCTCTAAAGTCCTGTATTTACTCTATCCTTTTACGAGTTTTATGTCCAGCCATATTAAACTACTTTAAGTTATACTTCTCCAGAGCAAGACGTGCTTCCCTTAAAACCTACTGTGGTTGGGCGGGATGACTCATGCCTGTAATCCCAGCTCCTGGAGAGGCTGAGGCAGGAGAATCGCATGAACCCGGGAGGCGGAGGTTGCAGTCAGCCGAGATCATGACTGCCATTGCATTCTAGCCTGGGGACAGTGCGAGACTGTCTCAAACAACAACAACAAAAAACCAATCAAACAAACAAACAAAAAAAAACCCCTCAAATCATAGAAGACTTAAAAAAAATTGGCACTTTCTGTTGAATACAGATGAATCACAGAGTCTTATAATCTAACATTCAAACTTCCAGGGTACAAATCAAAATTACTTAGACTCCAAGGGTAAGCTGTGGCCAGGCGCAATGGCTCTCACCTGTAATCCCAGCACTTTGGGAGGCCAAGGTGGGTGGATCACTTGAGGCCAAGAGTTCCAGGCCAGCCTGGCCAACATGGTGAAACCCCATCTCTACTAAAAATACAAAAAATTAGCTGGGTGTGATGGTACACACCTGTAATCCCAGCTACTCAAAAGGCTGAAACAGGAGAATTGCTTGAACCCAAGAGGCAGAGGTTGCAGTGAGCTGAGATCATACCACTGCCCTCCAGCCTGGAGGACAGCAAGATCTGTCTCAAAAAAAAAAAAGAAAAGAAAAGAAAAGAAAAAATAAGAGAATTCAAAGCCATCAGATGTTTCAGACAAAGGAGAATACAGCATAATGAAACTTGGAAGATCAAGAGTGAAGGAACAGAAGGGAAATGGTAACTATCTGGAAATATATAATAGGCCATTTCCTCATGAGTTATTGAAATAGCCAATGGGTTATACAAAACTTAATGATTAAAAGTACAAGATATATAATCATTTCCAAGGGTTTTTCTTTTTCTTTTTCTTTTTTAACATGTAGTCTCACTCTGTCGCCCAGTCTGGAGTGCAATGGTGCGACCTTGGCTCACTGCAAGCTCCGCCTCCCAGGTACTTGTAGAATAATGAATTTACATTATTCTAGTAATAACATTAATAGATAAAACGTTAAAGGGACAACATGTATAAAACCAATACCATTAGTAAATACCTGAGTCTCTTTAGTTGAGAGATTTTGTTAGCTTTCCTGCTTTTTGTGGTGGAATGGTGAGACTTCAAACAGTATGTCCACAAAAATTGGCTTTCATGTTAATCAGGAGACTTTCCCTTTCTAGGTCTTGTCACCCATAAAGACAACTGCCTTGAATGTCTTCACCCTGGGTCTTCAGGAATGTGTCAGTGGATGAAACAGTCACATATTGAGCCATGATTAGAAATGATTTAAAAGCACCATTTTTATTCTCTTCAGATACTCTTTTGAGATGGAGTCTGGCTCTGTCACTAGGCTATAGTGCAGTGGCACGATCTCAGCTCACTGCAACCTCTGCCTCCCCGATTCAAGTGATTCTCCTGCCTCAGCCTCTTGAGTAGCTAGGACTACAGGTGCGCACCACCACACCTAGCTAATTTTTGTATTTAGAAATATTGTAGTAGAGACAGGGTTTCACCATTTTGGCCAGGATGGTCTCGATCTCTTGACCTCGTGATCCAACAACCTTGCCCTCCCCAGGTGCTGGGATTACAGGCATGAGCCACTGTGCCTGGCCAGAAGGTATAGTCTTTCTCTTCAGATATTCTTGAGGAAAAGGCATTGGGATACAGCCCATGAGTATCTTCTAGGTTATGTATCTGTCCCAAAAGCCTGTGTGATGGGCAAATGTGACTCAGCCCTCCTTTGTTTTGGACACTGGAATCAAGGATGCATCTCTCTTCATCCATTTCCAATGAGAACGCTGGATTCTCTCTTCCAGACACTCGGACTGACTCACTTTACAAGGTCTGCTGTCTAAGATAGGACACAAGGTAAGGGTCCCTTTTACTAACGCTTCTGTAGAGCACCTCCAGGGCTGGGTCCCCTTTCTTCTCCACCATGCTCAGCAGGGCCTCGTTCTTGCTCTGTCGTGTCTTTGCCTGCTCCACCAGCTCCTTCTCATTCTCAGTGAGAACCTCACTGTCTTGGAGATCATCGAGCACCCCCTGCAGGTCCCCCATCCTGGCCTGGAGTTGCCGGACGTTCTCCTTCACAAAGGCTGCACCTGGACAGAAGTGGGAGTTGCAGACTCTGAGAATTGCTCTCTGATAGCATTTAGGATCTACACCAAACAAAGATTCATCATTCCAGGCTGGGGGGTGGCTCTTTTTTTTTTTTTTTTTTTTTTTTTTTTTTTTTTTTTTTTTAAGATGGAGTTTTACTCGTTGTCCAGGCTGGAGTGCAATGGCAAGATCTCAGCTCACTACAACCTCCGCCTCCCAGGTTCAAGCAATTCTCCTCCCTCAGCCTTCCAAGTAGCTGGGATTACAGACATGTGCCACCACGCCGGGCTAATTTTTGTGTTTTTAGTAGAGAAGGGGGTTTCACCATGTTGGTCAGGTGGGTCTCGAACTCCCGACCTCAGGTGATCCACCCGCCTCAGCCTCCCAAAGTGCTAGGATTACAGGTGTGAGCCCCTGCACCCGGCCGGGGATAGCTCTTCATCTTGTGTCTGTTGCCTAGCCCACATTCATTTCATTTTGGGTATTTTACTTCTGGTTATTGGTTAACTTTCTAGTCTCATATTTACTGTATCCCTCCCAAAGTTCAGTGTAGAACTACAGGTATTGATCGACTTACGACCTATGCGACTTACAACCATTCGACTTTACGACCACAATCGCTAGCCACAACTGCTCCGCGTCTGGCAGCGCAAACGTTGCCCAGCTGGGCGGACGACAGTGCAGACCAGCTTCTGGCAGCATGACCATCGCCGCGTGCACCAACTGTACCTACAGCCTACTCAACTTACAACCAAATCGTGTTACGACCGTTCCGCAGTCCCGACCGTGGTCGTAAGTACTTTAACCTACAGTTCCCCAGATGCAAGATATTCACCCCAAGAATTTGCTGTCGGTACTCCTTGTGTGGACCTCATGTCCTCATGCCTTCCAATAAGGAAATCACACTCGTTTTTCTCTGGCATCGCTCGTTCTTGTAAATGAGAAGGTTAGAAGGAACAGATCGTCGCTTTGTGAAGTCAAAGCACTCAAGCCCTCTTGATACCGGGTACATCCCCCTGGCTTTAGGGTAAACATTTCACCAACCTGAGGAGGCAGGAGGGGCTGATGTAGCTCCGAGCTGGATGTCCACTACAAAAGACGGAAGAATTGGAGGTGAGATACAGTGAATCCTGTACCCTCACTTAGCTTTTCTAGTCTTTCACGTGCCAACTAGAACAATTTAATTCTACATATTCTATAAGGCAGGGATCTTGTTTGGCACGCTAATACACTAATGAAACCCAATTAAGTCATGTGCCCATTCAGGAAATGTATCAGAGAGAGGAACACATTTTCCCAATATTCTTTCTTTTCTTTTCTTTCTTTTTTTGACTGAGTCCTGTTCTGTTGCCCAGGCTAGATTGCTGTGGCCCAATCTCAAGGTAACCTCAGCCTCCCAGGTTCAAGCAATTCTACAGCCCCAGCCTCCCGAGTAACTGGGATTATAGGCATGTGCCACCATGTACAGCTAACTTTTGTATTTGTAGTAGAGACAGGATTATGCCACGTTTGCCAGGCTGGTCTCGAACTCCTGACCTCAGATGATCTGCCTGCCTCAGCCTCCCAAAGTGCTGGAATTACAGGTGTGAGCACCATTCCCAACCCATGTTCCCAATATTTCTACATGCAGGTGGATGTCTTAGGAACTCTGAGGGCTACAACAATATTATATCAAAATGTCATAAATTATAGTGAAGATAAATGCATTTTAGGCATAAACTATCAACACTGAAAGAATAAATTTTTATTCGTGTTGGTACCAGGACTTTTAAGTTAATAGAAGGTTTGACAATTGAAGCTACCAATTTGAAAATAATTGAAATGATATTTCCCAGGAGGCCTTCAACATGGTCTTACACTTTCATCTAAAACTCCTAATGTCTGGGGGAAAGGAGGTACAGCCATGGAGCTGGTCTGCAGCTATTTCTGCAACCTCCGCCTCCTGGGTGCAAGCGATTCTCCTGCCTCAGCCTCCTGAGTAGCTGGGATTACAGGCAGGTGCCAGCACACCAAGCTAATTTTTGTATTTTTAGTAGAGACGGGGATTCTCCATGTTGTGGAAGCTGGTCTTGAACTCCTGACCTCTGGTGATCTGCCTGCCTCAGGGCTTCCAAAGCGCTGGGACTACAGGCATGAGCCACCGCACCAGGCCTGATCTGCAACTCTCTAGACACTATGAGGAGATGGGACTGTGAGAATTCAGTGAAAGAAGGAAGACCAGTGGCTGACGACCACAAGGGCCAGATTAGCCAACACCATCAACGCTATGACAGTATTGTCCCAAACTACTAAAATACATGAGCAGAAACAGGCGAAACCCATCTGAATTGCTCCAAAATATTCCACAATGTACTCATGTTCCAGAAGAACTCATATGTCAAGTATCCTCTTATTCCTGGGCGTTCACGTTGGCTTCATTTTTCCCTCATTACCAATAATGCCTCAAAGAATATCACTGCATATAATTTCCCTTCATCTGTGTACTCTTACATTATAGTATAGATTTCTAAAAGTAGCTTTTTGTTCAAAGGATAGTTTTAGGTTTTTTTTTTTTTGAGACAGGGGCTGGAGTGCAGTGGTACAAACTCAGCTCACTGCAGCCTCCACCCTCTGGGGTCAAGTGATCCTCCCACCTCAGCCTCCCAAGTAGCTGGGGCAACAGGCAGCTACCACCATGCCAAGCTAGTTTTTGTATTTTTTTGTAGAAATGTGGTTTCATCGTGTTACCCAGGTTGGTCTCGAACTCCTGACCTCAATCGATCCTTTCGCCTTGGCCTCCTAAAGTGCTGGGATTACTGACATGAGCCACTGAGACTGGCCACAAGGGACAATTTTTAAATTAATATAAGTACATATTACTACCTAAAAGGTTAAGGCAATTTACAGTTCCTATGCAAATATTATCTTAATGTCCTTATTGAAATTTTCCTAATGTGTTACTGAAGATAATGATCTGCTATGATTGAAGACTCTGATTTCTGCATCATTGTAGGTTAGGTATTCAAACAGGATGACATTTGCAAGTATTGGAGATACTTAAATGTATCCACAGAGATTCAAGGACCTATGAGGAGATCTTTGGTAACTTTTCTGGGAGTTTCTAAATTCCCTGAAATTATGTTTCTGATGTTGAGTTTGTATGAATGGATGAAACATTTTATAAGATTTTTCATTCAGACTATCTGAACGAACATGACATCCCAAAATTAAGAAAGGTGAGTGTGGGGCTGGGCGCGGTGGCTCAAGCCTGTAATCCCAGCACTTTGGGAGGCTGAGGTGGGTGGATCACAAGGTTGAGAGATCGAGACCAACCTGGTCAACATGGTGAAACCCTGTCTCTACTAAAAATACAAAAAAAATTAGCTGGGCATGGTGGCACGTGCCTGTAATCCCAGCTACTCAGGAGGCTGAGGCAGGAGAATTGCTTGAACCCAGGAGGCGGAGGTTGCAGTGAGCCGAGATCGCGCCATTGCACTCCAGCCTGGGTAACAAGAGCGAAACTCCGTCTCAAACAAAAAACAAAAAACAAAACAAAACAAAAAAACAAACAAAAAAAAGAAAGGTGAGTGTGGAACAATTTATTAAATTGTGCAGAAAATGGAATGAAGTAGTTTTTAGGTTTGTTCTGACTCTTAAAATCTCCTGTTTTCGGCCGTGCACAGTGGCTCACACCTGTAATCCTAGCACTTTGGGAAGTCGAGGTGGGTGGATCACTTCAGGTCAGGAGTTTGAGAGCAGCCTGGCCAACAGGGCAAAACCGCATCTCTACTAAAAATATAAAAATTAGCCAGGTGTGGTGGTGGGTGCCTGTGGCCCCAAATACTTGGGAGACTAAGGCAGGAGAATCACTGGAACCCAGGAGGAGAGCTTGCAGTGAGCCGAGATTGCACCACTGCACTCCAGCCTGGGCAATGCAGCAAGAGTCTGTCTTCAAAACAAAACAAAAAAAACCTCCTGTTGTTTACCCGCAGATGTGGGGGGTTTCCATTCCCATGGCCATCCCCGTTCTCAGGCCCCTTGAGCATTTGAACTGCTATGGATAAACCACTGCCATCACTTCTGTTTTCCTCACATTGGCAATACACTGACAATCGATTTTTAATCTGGGATGGAACCAGAAACAGACTTTCTTCTTTGACATTCAATGGTAGAGGTGTATTTTCCCTCACCAAAAATGCCAGCCCTACCCACTCACCTACCTGGCTTCACCACAGTCTTCCAGACCAAAGTCCCATGTCTTTTGTCAGTAATCTCAACTTGAATGGGTTCCTTCATCTGCCCAGCATAGAATTTCGAGAAGGGCTGGATTTCTCCAGGACTCCTGTAGGACAATTTCAACTCCTAGAGGAAATACAGCAGCTGACTTAAAGCAGTGGTAGGTGGGAAGGCCTGGCTCCCTATAGTGAACTGGCCCATGGAACGTACCCCCGTTTTCTGTGCAATGTCATGGCTGGTTGAGGGGAAAACAGAAGGAGAGAGGTAAATCTTTTTTTTTTTTTTTTTTTTGAGAAGGAGTCTTGTTCTGTCATCCAGGCTGGAGTGCAGTGGTACAATCTCGGCTGACTGCAACCTCCACTTCCTGGGTTCAAGCGATTCTCCTGCCTCGGCCTCCTGAGTAGCTGAGATTATTAATGCGTGCCAGCACGCCTGGCTAATTTTTGTATTTTTAGTAGAGACAGGATTTCACCATGTTGGCCAGGCTGGTCTCAAACTCCTGACCTTGTGATCTGCCCACTTCAGCCTCCCAAAGTGCTAAGATTACAGGCATGAGCCACCACGCCCAGCCAGTAAACATTCTTTTAAATTTACAATGTTAGTAAATACTTTTATTTTATGAAAGCAAGAGCAACCTAGCTCTAAACACCCCATGAGCCAGAGAAAAATGATCGGAGCTGAGTACAAAAATCTTATGTGTTGGCTGGGTGTGGTGGCTCATGCCTGTAATCCCAGCACTTTGGGAGGCTGATGCGGGCAGATCATGAGGTCAGGAGTTCGAGACCAGCCTGGCCAACATGGCAAAACCCTATCTCTACTAGAAATACAAAAATTAGCTGAGCGTGGTGGCACGTGCCTGTAACCCCAGCTACTCGGGAGGCTGAGGCAGGAGAATCACTTGAACTCAGGAGGCAGGGGTTGCAGTGAGCTGAGATCACACCACTGCACTCCAGTTGGGCAACAGGAGTGAACCTCTGTCTCAGAAAAAAGAAAAAAAAAAGCTCTAGGGTTTTACCTATCTAGTGTATTATGTTCTATTAAAATAATATGTAGGGATAACTTCAACTGTGCAGAAATATACAGTCGTCTTTAGTAAAAAATATATAAAATGTGATGTGTAATATAAGATATCATATTTCTTCATTCAAACACCTTAACAAATACTTGTTAAGTGACTTAGCTAGGCAAGATGTCAGGTCTGCAGGGAACCTTAACAGCGAAGTGGAAACTTTGATTTAGAAACAAAATGCAGTTTTGATCACAAGGTAAGTGCCCCGAATGCTAAAACGTTACCTCTGCCTGTGTTAAGGTCTTGGAAATATATAATTTGATTAAGACTGTTGTCCTGTATTTTCGATTTTTAAAAACTTTATATTTTTGATAAAAATACTGCATTTTGCTAAAATTCTATTTGTTTCAAAAGTACAAAATATTTTGAAATCTGCGGTGTTAGGTTTGAATTCTACCAACCCTGGGTATTATTTCCAGATGAGCAGAATTAGACACAATGTAATAGGCACCGAAGTTCAGGGGTTCCATCGGGGGTGAAGTCTGTAGACGCACACCACAGAAGCGATTTTCCTCATCATCTATTGCCTGAGGAACAAGGGGCAGAAACATTAGAAAACACACAAAAAAAGGAAATAAGCACAAACAGTGGCATGAAAAGTGTTCTATATATTAAGTAGCATGTAGAATATGATTCCATTGATGTAAAGCCTGAGACGACAGGGTGGGGCACAGTGGCTGAAGCCTGTAATCCCAGCACTTTGGGAGGCCAAGGCGGGTGGATCACCTAAGGTCAGGAGGTCAGGACCAGCCTGGGCAACTTGGTGAAACCCCATCTCAGATTGAGATGATAGATAATATTTATATCTTAATAAAATATACAAATAATTTATTGCTCCATAATTTTCACAGTGGACACACCCATGTATCCAACACAGATAGATGGTAGAGTGATAAACTATAGATAGATAAAAATTTGCCTCTATGCAAAAAAGATATTAACATTTTGCTGATGGACATCTCAGAGCCAAAGGATATCTTGTGAATGCAAACTTGTCATAATTTCTTGTACAGTTTGATTTTGTTCTTACACTGTAGAGAGTTTAGCCAGGGGACTTATGAAACCAGGGACAAAGGGGTTTCCTTTTGATGTGTCAGCAGAGGACTGGTAGCTTGGCTGTGTCTGTGAACACGTCTATGATGGGCAAGGGTAGAGATGTTACTTCTCTCCATCACGGGGCTGCTGTGAGATGCTCAGCCACCTGAGCACCCGTGAGCAGATACAGAAGAGTGAGGTCCCCTCTGAGAGGCCCAGCAGCCGGAGCAGAACTCGAGACCCGAGAACAATCTGAGCAGCCACCAAAGACAAAGAATGGAATTCAAACAATAAGAAAACCTTTCAGAAGTCTCAGGTACAACTCAACAGAGACTTTATGGAATGAGCGAGCAATACTTTAAACTAAAAGCAACGAGAGTAGGCAGTATTATTAGTCCAGCTGTTAGACACCCTTGGGGTAATGACTGGGAGGGGACTCAAGGGGGCCTCAGGGAAGTTGGTGATGTTCTGTGTCTTGCTCTCAGTGCTGGATACGTGGGTGTGTCCACTGTGAAAATTAGGGAGCAATACATTCTGTGCATATTATATTAATTTAAAAATAGCAGTGATACTGATGAAGGAAGGATAGGCAAAGCTGAAACGTAAACTGGGCCTGGGAGACCCCCACCCAGGCGGCACTGAAGGCATTGAGAAGCAGACACCCAGAGAGAACAGCAAAGTGGGACTATCGGGGGGCCAACAGCCTTCCCAGCTGAGAGCCTCAGGGCCTGCCAGCATTCCTGGCTGAGGGCCTCAAACAGATTCTGACCCACTTAGTTATTCTCTCTGAACAGGTGATTATTATTAACTAACAGGTGTTCTGTGTTTTCTCACAAAACCAAGATAAACTAGGTAGCCAGCTGGTGCCTGCTTACCACTGGTTAAGGGCAAACCAGAAAGTATTCTCCACGAGGATCCCTGGGGGCAGGGCCACATAGCCCGTGCTTAAAGAATTGTTTTAACCGGTGTCTGGTAGACATATACTATTTTGCTACTTTAGAATGCCTCAAGCAGTTTTCCCCCTGGGAGGGGGAGGGGGAGGGGGGAGGAAGGGGAGGGGGAGGGGGAGGGGGGAGGAAGGGGAGGGGAGGGGGAGGGGGAGGGGGAGGGGGAGGGGGAGGGCATTGATCTTCACAGCAAACAATAGAATTTTATCATACACTCAGCATTTCTCAACAGTAGACATCACAGCAGGAACCTTATGAGCCAGAAGAGAATGGAGTCCTATTTTCAAACTGCTTAAAAATACCGTGCCAATCACAAATTTTAAATCCTGCCAGAATAAGCTTCACAAATGAAGGAGAGAGAGTTTTTCCCTGACAAGTGAATGCCGACAGAATTTGTCACCATTAGATCAGTTCTATAAGAAGTGCTCAAAGGACTTCTGAACATGGAAAAAAAGGTCAATATTCATCATCATAAAAACACGTGAAAGTATAAAACTCACAGGTCTCCTAAAACAATTACACAAAGAAGGAAAAGAAACCAAATGGGAACAAGGTAGGGCTCCATCAAACCACGGAGGCAGGGTAAGAAAGAGAATAAGGAACTCACAGAACAACGAGGTAACAATTAACATTATGATAGGAACAAAAGCTCACATATCAATGTTAACCTTGAATGTAAATGGATTAAACACTTCACTTAAAAGATAGAGACAGGGAGAATGGATAAAAACCACGAACCATCTATAGATGGCTTACAAGAAACTCACCTTACTGGTTAAGACACGTACAGACTAAACGTATCAGGCGGGTGCAAAGGTAACTGCAGTTTTTGTTGTAATGGCATGACTCTTTTTTTTTTTTTTTTTTGTGAGATGGAGTTTCGCTCTTGTTACCCAGGCTGGAGTGCAATGGCGCAATCTCGGCTCACCGCAACCTCCGCCTCCTGGGTTCAGGCAATTCTCCTATGTCAGCCTCCTGAGGAGCTGGGATTACAGGCACGCGCCACCATGCCCAGCTAATTTTTAGTATTTTTAGTAGAGACAGGGTTTCACCATGTTGACCAGGATGGTCTCGATCTCTTGACCTCGTGATCCACCCGCCTCGGCCTCCCAAAGTGCTGGGATTACAGGCTTGAGCCACCGCGCCCGGCCATGGCATTACTCTTAATGGCAAAAGCTGGTTACTTTTGCACCGACTTAAAAAGGTAGAAAAGGTATTCCATTTCAACACAAACCAAAAGTGAGCAGGAATAGCTATACTTACCTTAGATAAAACAGACTTTAAGTCAGAAACAGTTAAAAAAAAACCTAACCCTCCACAAAGGTCGTTATATAATGATAAAAACATCAGTTCACAGGAGGATATGACAATTCTCAGTATTTGTGTACCCAACACAAGAGCATCCAAATTCATCAAGCAAATATTACTAGACCTAAAGAAAGAGACACAATATTATGGGGGACTTCAACACCTCAATCACAGCACTAGACATACCAATGAAACAGAAAATCAACAACAACAAAAACCATTGTAATTAAATTGGACATTAGACCAAATGGACTAATAGATACTTACAGAACATTTACCCAACAATCACAGAATACACAGTCTTATCATTGGCACACGGAACATTCTCCAAGGTAGATCAAATGTTAGGCTAAAGAAGAGCCTCAATACAATTTCACAAATGAAAATAAGGTCAAGTTATTTGAAATCAATGGAAATTAAATGTACAAATCAATTGAAATTAAAGAACAAGCTTCTGAATGATCTTGGGTCAATGACAAAATGAAGATGGAAATTACAACATTTTTTGAAATGAAATTGAAGCATTTCAAAACCAACTGGACACAGGAAAAGCAGTGCTAAGAAGGAAGTTTATAGCATTAAATGCCTACATGAAAAAAAATTAAAGCACAGATGAACAACTTTATGTTGTATATGAAGGAACTAGAAAAACAAGAACCACTGAGGTGGGCAGTTTGCAACGTCAAGAGATCAAGACCATCCTGGCCAACATGGTGAAACTCCTTCTCTTCTAAAAATACAAAAATTACCTGGGCATGGTGGTACACGCTGGTAGTCCCAGCTACTTGGGAGGCTGAGGCAGGAGAATCACTTGAGGTCAAGAGTTCAAGACCAGCTTGGCCAACCTAGCCAAACCTGTCTTTACTAAAAATACAAAAAATTAGTTGGGCTTCCTGGCAGGCACCTGTAATCTCAGCTACTAGGGAGGCTGAGGCAGGAGAATCGCTTGAACCCAGGAGGTGGAGGTTGCAGTGAGCTGAGATTGCACCACTGCATTCCAGCCTAGGTGACAGAGTGAGACCCTGTCTCAGAAATAAAATAAATAAGATTTGGTGAGAGAACTTCTGTATATTATTTCTTCTGCCCATCAGACAACATCTCCTCTTTGAGAGCCAGAAAAGCAAGCTCCCTTCTCAGTAGTCCTGAATTTCTGCGGGGATTGTTGCATGTGGCTCAATGTTCTGCCCCTACAGGTGAACCTCAGGGAGAGTCATCTATGCTTCTCTCCATGAAAACTGTGCCTTGCCCTTTCTGTTCCACAAGGAACTGGAGGGGCCAAGGGGATAAGCTGGAAATATAATTCTCATCTTCTCTGGTCTCCTAAATCGCTCGGCTTACCTTCCTTATCAAGGCATCGCTGGGGACAAGGTACAAGTGGAACTTAATATCTTCGGGATGGGAGTGATAATACATCAATGTGCTGGAGGTGATGGAGATGGAGAGGCGGGTTCCGCTGGCGATCCGCAGCAGGATGCCCATCAGAGAGAAGCTAGGGTTTTCCAGGACGGCGTAAAATGGCTCCACCCGGGCTGGATGCTCCAGGACCATCCCTTCATCTTTAAAATGGGCAACAAGGAACCAGGAGATGTCCACGTCACCTGCTGCAGGAGAACCACAACAGCAGTGAGACAGGACGAGCCCCAGCAGCCCCCACAGCCTCCGCTCACCCCACAGTACCTTGGAGGGAGATGAAGTGGGGGAGGTGGATTTCATCGACAGCCTCCTCCGGCTCTGCAGTGATGTCAAACAAGGGGCCGGCCACCAGCCACTGCTCATGGTGCTGCAGGTCCAGGGCCAGGTGCTGACTCCAGGAACCAAATGCAATTCTCACCGTGGCCGCAGCCCTTACCACGAAACCGAGGCCTGTGGCTGACCACAGATACCAGCCAGCAGCAGGGAACCGAACGCTGAAAGGAGCCAGAGTGATGTCATGACGGGAGAACTCCAGGACTTGGATTTAAGCAGCGATGTGCAGGGAGAGGTGGTATTTGAAGTAAGCAAGGTCCAGGACCCATCTGGGACTTTTACTACATTAGAAAATGCTGGGGAGTTCACTAACCTCTCTGGGCCCCAGTTTCTCTGCACTTTATGTACGTCGAAATTAAAATGCCGATTTCACAGTGCATGAAATAAACATATTACTGATGTCGGCTATCATAAGGAATGGAGCTTACACACTTCCTTTATACCGGAACTGTTTTCAGATCATCAGCGTCCCCCATTCTTGCCTGTATCTGTTTGTGTTTTCGTCTGTCAACTCAACATCCACATTTCCTTCAGGCCCCAGAAACTGAGTATTTTTATAATCTCGTTTGACCTCAAAATGGAGTTTAGCAGCACAACAGGAAACTATCTGATGCTCTTCTGAGTGATCAACTTCTGAAAAGAAAATACTAGACACGTAAGAGGTAACGGGTTGGAAGAGGCATGGCCGGAAGGACTCCTGGGGGCTGAATTACACAGGTGCAACTGTTGGGACTACCAATATCGAATGAGAAGAGAGAGTGACTAGAACATGGAGTTTTGCTACTTTGAATCCAGACAAGGAAAGACACAAGAACGTTCTTTATCATGAGTAAAAGTATACTCCAAATTCTACAGGGTTTTCTGGGAAGCCAGGCTGGACAGTTTTGGTGGTAGGCACCATTTGCTGAGGACTGGAATCAGTGCACCTCAATGTCTGCTGGTCCCAAATAGCAGATGACACCTTCTGCTGGTGAGGAAGGCCCAGGTCAGAAAAGGATCAAGCTCCAAAGCTGAAGAGGTGAATGGGCGAGCATTCTTCCTAGTCCCTGTGACTGTCCCCAGCCACCAGGACCATCCCCAGCCGCCAGGACCATCTGCTGGTTCCCCTGAGGATTTCCGTGCCCCAGCGGTGGGAGGCTTAAACGTCCCCATTTAAACTGCATGGCGCACCGTAGCCGAGGTAAGGAAAACCACTCCCGGTCTTCACTGCACAAAAGACCCTAACCTTACTTCTCCATGTAAAACCACAGAACATTTCCACCAATCCATACACCCTTCACTCCTCTCCCTATTAGCCATTACCTGAATCTTGTTCTTCTGAAGATTCCTGATCTTCTGACATGCTGGAGGTTGAGATTCCCATGTTAGAAAAATATTTTAAAAAATCAAGAATTAGTTGATGAAAATGAAGACAATGTTATAAAAAACTAGAGCTGCAGTGTCCAGTAGAGTGCCCACTACCCAGATGTGCTATTTACATTTGTATGAATTAAACATAGGTAAACTTTAGTTTCTCAGTTGTACTATCCATATTTCAAGTGCTCAACACCAGCATGTCGCTCCTGGCTATAACACTGTGTAGCAGAGAATGAAACACTTCCGTCATCACAGAAATTTCTCTTAGGATGGATCTAGACTATAAAAAAATAGAAGACATTTGAATAAAGATTTTTTTACATATATATTTTTTATTTTAATATATATTTTCATATACATTTATATATTTAATATATATTATATACTTCCAAAATATATAATATATATTAAGATATATATTATATATTTAATTATAAATATAAATAAATATATTAACATTATGAATATAAATATTTAATTATAAATATATATTAAATTATAAATATATATTTAATATATGTAAATATATATTAAATATATAAATATATTATATATTTTAAAATATATAAATATATATTAAATATATAGTATATAGAATATATATTTAATATTATTTAATATACAGATATATATAGAATATAAAATTTTATATTATATTTAATTTAAATATATATTAATATATTTATATTTATCTTAATATATTAAATATAAATATATTTAATTTAACTTTAATATATATTCTATATATTAAATATATGTAAATATATATTTAATATTTAATATATAAATATGTATTTAATATATATATTCTAAGACTTTAGAATAAAGATTTTTTTATCCAGATTTATGAATAGTAGAGCTAATGTTCTCCCTAGAGCCAAATGTGTCTTGATATCTCTCTCTCTTTATTTTATGCCGGTGTTCAACGTGGACTCAGCCAGCTTCTCTGGCTTAAATTGCTCCAATTGGTATCATATGATGTTGGAATCAAAGATTGAAGCAGTAATTGACCGGCGCGTGAAATGCGTGCATTTATATTCTAAGGTAATTCCAACCTTGGCCACACCTGGGAAGCTTTAAAATCCACCCAATACGCAGGTCACAGCCCACACCAGTTGAATCAGAAGTCTGGAGGTAGGACCCAAGCATCCGTGCTTTCAAAGCCTCACAGGTGATTCCAACATCAGCCAACATGGACTCCATGGTCTACGGGGTGAGCCGATGGTTCGTCAGGCCCCTGGGGAGAGAAATCTGCCCTAACACAGGTGATACCTTGGAGGAAGTCACCAAAACTCCATCAAATTCTCTGCTTTGGGGTGTTTGAATGTGGAAAAAAATCAAGACTTAGGGGAGTCAGAGGGCGAGACTCCCAGTCCGTAAGAGGGTAGATGATGAAATCGCAAATAAAAACAATGTTTATTTCTGTGGCAATAACAGTTAAGGCATTAACAGATGCTGCTGTGAAATCATGAAACATGGTTGGCTTTTCTGCTGACATTTCCTTAGGTTCCCTGGTGCTTCGATCTATTCCTTGTTATGTCTGTTTATTTCAACGTGAAAGAGACCAGCGGAGAAATCCACACGTGGATTAGGTTTAAAAAGAACAGGTACCTGGAGAAGCGGGATGAAGAGAAAGGCTCTATAGCGCTTTTCTCAGAAGGGTTCTGTGGGCAAGCCAAGCGTGGAGAGAGACCCTTGGTCTGACACCCTAAGACTGGTTGCCGTCTGCAGCTGCACATGTCACCATGGATTCGGATGGCCACATGCAAAGCAGCAACGGTATATTGTATGTTCGCCCTCCTGGTGCATGTGCATGCTGCAGTCTGCCTGCTGAGAACGGTTTAGAAGGTGGGAGGAGCCAGCGCTGAACTGCCGATCCCAGATCAGGAGCACCAAGGGTCCCATTGTCAGGGATCTTGCAAGCAGGTTGGTAACACACCCTTAGTCTAAATTAAACGATACAAACTAACATTTAAGTAAATCATATTAATAACAGGAATACATCCTTAAAACGTACCAATTTCTAGTATGTTCTACACTACATTTTTCTGCCCTTTCCGGCAGTCTATGCCCTTGAGGTTATTTATGTCTATCGTATCTGTGTGGTGAAAATGTGCTGACGGACTGCTGCAGGTGTCCTTCCAACGCCCTCGTCAGGGACTTCAGGTTGGTAGTTTGAAATCTGCCATGATGGAGATATGCACCCCTTGGAAACTGGCATATGCTACAAATAGAGGCGTCCTCACCTCCCGGGCGTTAAACCTCAGGACCCCACTGCAGCCTTCGGCCTCATCATTAGCCAGTTCCTAGAGAATTAGGTTGGTGTTAGGCATTGAGTAACAGCCCAACCAAAATAACGCACTGGTCTTTGATGGCATTGTCCCCTGCCTTTTTGTGTATAGGTTTCTCTAGACACCTCCATGGAAGAAAATGCCATTGCTTAAGGTTTGATTCAAAAATTTCTGGAATTGTGTGGCAATAATGCTCATTCATTCTAATGAATAATCTTCACTTATAATGAATATTATTCCATGAATAATCATAAGCTCATTGATTATGTTCATTCATTATACACATTCATAATGAATGAACATAAGCTTATTATCTCCAATGACTTACGTGAAACATTTTTAAACGCGTATTCACCATTCGTGTATACTTTTGGCAATGACAAAATGTCTATTTACTATATCATTTTCAAAATTGTGTTTTTACCTTTTTATCATAGTTTGTTTTCTTCAGCTTAAAATCAGAGGACTTTAAAATATTTTTCGTTCCTATGTTTTCCTTCTTTTTGGTTTAATTTTGATTGCATTGTTTCCTCAATTATATTTTCAGAATGTCCGTAACTAGTGTACAGAAATCCAATTAATATGTGCATTTTGATTTGATAGTCTACAACACTGCTAAATTTCTTCCTTACTTTGAATGGGTTTTTAGGAAATTGCTCAGGGTTTTTTTTTTTTTTTAATGTGGGATGATGTCTTGGACTTTTAAAGACAATTATTTCTCTTCTTTGTGACCTTGGGTCCTTTTCTCTCTTTTTTTCTTGCATGATTGTTTTCTGTAGCAAAGTTCTTCAGGACAGTGTTTAATAGAAAGGAAAAAAAAAATGAGCCTGTGTGTCTTGTTCCCATTCTTATGGGAAGATAGTCTTGCTTCCCACTGAGTATAATGTTTCCTGCAGGTTTTCTGTACATATTATTTATTAGGTTGTGGATGTTCTATTCAATTCCTAGCAATTTTTAAAATTTTAATTACAAAATGGATTTAGTCCAGTGTTTTTATTCTGTGTCAATGAGATGATTACATCTTAATCTTCCTTTATTTTTCCTAGTATGGGTTTTATATCAAATTCTTTTGAACAGCTTTATCGAGTATAATTGATCTACAAAAAAATCCTTCATCATTAAGATACTCAAGTTGATGAAACTGAATATAAACCTGGGATATATAATTTCCTCTGATTCCAATGAAAATCACCTAAATTCCTCCTGGTTCTCATGTTCCTCTGTGGTATTGAGATACAGCGACCAATGCTGTCAGCTTTTCTTAAAAATAGTTTCCCTTACCTGGAATCCTCATCCTCAAAGGGTTGATGCAGTTGATGCTCAGGAGGAATACCGGACAGCGATTCCTCTTCCTCCATCTGATCCTTGCATATTAGGGTATCTTGTGTGTCGTACGTCTTTTCCATACTTGGACGGTAATATCTTCCAGTTTCTCTGAAGAAACACAATGGGATTTGCACTACAAATACAGGGTAGGCTCTGCAGAAAGATTTTATGTTAATAACCATAGACCCCATATTTTGTCTTTAGGAAAGTCTTTTCTCAGGCTCTCATGGCGCCATCTCACCTCTCGTTATATTCAATTTAACTGTCTTTCGGTCCCCCACTAAATACTGGTTTTTACATCCAGGAAGCAGACCTCAGTCAATTCTCAACACTCACTATTTGCCACAAGGTGTAGTTGCGTAACAGGTCAACCTTGCTGAAAAATGTAGGGAAGAAATGAGGTTCCTGGTTTATACTCCACGTTCACCCATCATTTGCGCCAGAGAGAATGGAACCCTAGAATCACTGACTTAAAGCCCAGGACATTAGTGAGATTGGGCATGTGTGAGAACAATCCATGGAACAGTGGCGCCCCTCCTTTGACCTCTGCTTCCACCTGGTGAGGAGAGGCTGGGTAAAGACAAGCATGCTCAGAGGGAAGGAAATGATGCATAGTGCACTGAAACTCCCTTCTTCCATCAAAGATCCTGATTCAGATATGGAACATGAAAGCTCCATGCTAGATCCCTGCCTCTTCTTCCTTCTCAAGGGCTGGGCTCTGGTCTCCTTTGGGTCATGGGAATCAAGATTGGGGTTAGAAGGAAGTGTCCATTGAGCTAAGATCGTCCCTGGCCAGTATGACAGCCACTAGCCACATATGCCTGTTTAATTTTTTTTTTTTTCCCAATTCGGGAGCAGGTACTGTTTATTAACTGACCGGATTAAAAATATAGGGCTGGGCACAGTGGCTCACGCCTGTAATCTCAACACTTTGGGAGACTGAGGCGGGCGGATCATGAGGTCAGGAGATTGAGAGGTCAGCCTGGCTAACATGGTAAAACTCTGTGTTTACTAAAATTACCAAAAAAATTAGCCAGGCGTGGTGGTGTGCGCCTGTAGTCCCAGCTACTTGGGAGACTGAGGCAGGAGAATCGCTTCAACCCGGGAGGCGGAGGTTGCAGTAAGCTGAGATCACGCCATTGCACTCCAGCTTGGGCAACAGAGCGAGACTCCATCTCAAAAAAATAAGTATATAAATAATAATCATGATAGACACCTTAGTGTCTTAGTTCACTCTCCTAAGAAGCCCATTGATCTGGTCCTCCCTTTGCTGGCATCTCCACCTTCTACAAAATGGGCGCTCTTTTTCTTCATGCCACCTCATGGAGAGGATAGTTTAAAGGGCCACGGGAAGTTGTTTCTTCAAAGCATTTCCCAGCAGTATAGATCTCAGGAATCTAATCCTCCATGCAGAGGAATGCACATGTACCAAGAGGTCGAGCAATGAGTGTTATCTGTCAAAGCAATTCGCTTCTTCTCGGATTTGCCATAAACACGCTTGTAGATTAGCTCATTTACTGACTTCAGATTTGGGTCCCCCCGTGTAATATATGGCTCTGCAATCCTCAGCATGTTAACTGAAGCCTTGTTCAGGTTCACAAACGTCCCGTTAGAGATTTGACGAAGGAGAAGAAGCTGCAACACCTTTCGGACCTTTGGGCTCACACCATTGACTCCTCTGGTCCTGATGACAAAGGCCCATTTGGGTTCTGCAGGTACACGGAAGTTGCCGGCTTTTCCTGGCATCCTCGCCATTTGAATTTCAGTTCTGTCCATCTGCCTATCTTCCTTGTGACAGTGCTTCGCTTTTTCAGAGATAAGCTTCCCCCTTGCCTTTCGAAGCATCTTTTGGGCAAACTTCTTTCTCAGGCACTTGACCTTCAGCTCTGCTACATTCCTTTTCTTTTTCTCCCATCCAAGAACTAACCAGGCTCCAACCCTGCTTAGCTTCCGAGATCAGAAGAGATCGGGTTCATCCAGAGCAGTACAGCGGGAGACTCCTTTCCTTTTCTTAAGGCTTTCTGGCAAAGCAGGAACCTCCTTCTTCTCTGTGACACCCTCCACGGTTCCAGGCAGAAACACATAAATTTTAATTTTAATTAGCTAATTAAATGTGAAAATCAGTTTCTCATTTGAACTACTAGCACATTTCAAGTGTTCAGACGCCACCTGTGGCCAGTGGCTTCCATACTGGACGGCACAGGTAGGGATCACTTCCATCCTGGTAAAGCTCTCTGCTGGACCGCACTGACTTCAGTCATCTGCTACAGTCCAGTTGGCCAAAAAGTCCTGCTTTGGGGTGTCTGGCATTGATTTAACCAAACAAAGTGGTTCTTTGGGCCCTACCATCCGTGTGTGGCACTGCCCTTGAAATATCCCCTGGAAAAGGGATGGATGGACTCAGCAAGAGTGAGGAATTCCTGTGTTCATTAGCAGTACTTTCAACCTGTCAAATATCACCCGGAAATACAATCTAGACCTGAGCTAATAGCAATGTATCAATATCAATGTCCTGTTTTTGACAGTGACTAGTCCTATTGAAAAATATTGGCCAGGCATGGTGGCTCATGCCTGTAATACCGGCACTTTGGGAGGCCGAGGTGAGTGGACCAACTGAGGTCAGGAGTTCAAGACCAGCCTGGCCAACATGGTGAAACTCTGTCTCTACTAAAAATACAAAAATTAGCTGGGTGTGGTGGCACATGCCTGTGGTCCCAGCTACTCAGGAGGTTGAGGCGGAAGAATCGCTTGACATCTCCCAGGTGGAGGTTGTAGTGAGCCAAAATCATGCCACTTTTGCCCTCCAGCCTGGGTGACAGAACAAGACTCCATCTCCAAAAAAAAAAAAAAAAAAGAAAAGAAAAAAAAATTAAAATTATAACAAAAAAGAAAAAGAAAATAATATACTGATTTTATGCAATTAGCCAAAATGTCTCTGCTTCATATGAATTTATACAAGAGAGAGAAACAAGATTCAAAATCTTTCATTTTTTGCCAAAGAATATATATCTCTTACTTCTGCAATATGAAGTAAGGATGAGAGAAATCTTCTAGTGCCACAGCTGTTTGATTTTGCTGAGTCATTCTGTGATGGGGCGACAAAAAATACTTCCTCTCTCTGCATCTCCATCCGCACAGCCTGGGAAAACACAAATGGAGTTAGAATATAAGTAGGTTCGAGGAGCTTGATGGTCAGACAGTCTCTTCACTGTGATGTCGTGTGAAGCAGCCCCTGATCAGGTGTCCATCTTTAGAGACGCCATCTCTGATGCTCGCCCTGTCATAAAAGCCCATTCCGCCACACTTTTATTGAATTAACTGCATCTCTGTCTCCACTCGGGAGACAGTGATCTTATCTCAGCGGGCATGCCTCCTTTGATTCTCAATCCCTGATGGTCACCACAGTCCATCACACTTGGTGACATTCACTCCAGGCTTCTGAAACAAGACCACATTCTTGTAAGTGTAGAAGCATAAGAAGGGCCCTACTCTTCCATCCATCACTGATCCTTAAAAGGAGAGAATGTTAACTTAATTGAGTCAAACTGCACAACACTGGATGGACTGAACTTTAAAAGCAGAATCTTGGGTCGGGTGTGATGGCTCATGCCTATAATCCCAGCAATTTGGGAGGCCAAGCTGGGCATATCACCTGAGGTTGGGAGTTCGGGACCAGCCTGACCAACATGGAGAAACCCCGTCTCTACTGAAAAAAACAAAAAATTAGCCAGACGTGGTGGCATTTGCCTATAATCCCAGCTACTGGGGAGGCTGAGGCAGGATAATCACTTCAACCTGGGAGGTGGAGGTTGCAGTGAGCTGAGATCGGACCATTGCATTCCAGCCTGGGCAACAAGAGCAAAACTCTGTCTGGGAAAAAAAAAACAAAAAACAACAAAAAAAAAAACAAAGCAAAGCAAAGCAAAATCTCTTATTTCATGTGAGTGGATTATGAACAATGCAGACCAGGGAAATCTGCATTTAAAAGCATCTGTGGACATTTCTTAGTCGCTAAAGACATATCAAAAAACTTAACCTCAGCTGAGCACGGTGGCTCACGCCTGTAATCCCAGCACTTTGGGAGGCCAAAACGAGCAGATCACCTGAGGTCAGGAGTTTGAGTCCAGCCTGACCAACATGGAGAAACCCCACCTCAACTAAGAATAAAAAATTAGCCGGGGCCGGGCATGGTGGCTCACGCCTGTAATCCCAGCACTTTGGGAGGCCGAGGCAGGTGGATCACGAGGTCAAGAGATCGAGTCAAGAGATCCTGGTCAACATGGTGAAACCCCATCTCCACTAAAAATACAAAAAAAAAAAAATTATCCGGGCATGGTGGCGTGTGCCTGTAATCCCAGCTACTCAGGAGGCTGAGACAGGAGAATTGCCTGAACCCAGGAGGCGGAGGTTGCGGTGAGCCGAGATCACGCCATTGCACTCCAGCCTGGGTAACAAGAGTGAAACTCCGTCTCAAAAAAAAAAAAAAAAAAAAAAAAAAACTAGCCGGGTGTGGTGGCGCATGCCTGTAATCCCAGCTACGAGGGAGGATGAGGCAGGGGAATTGCTTGAACCTGGGAGGTGGAGGTTGCAGTGAGCTGAGATTGCACCGTTGCATTCCAGCCCGGGTGACAAGAGTGAAACCTTACTTAACCTCTGAGTATCAGTTTTCTAACTTGTAGAATAAGGATGCAATACCATCATCACAAATCCTTGTGGTGATTAATTCTAGAAGGCTAAAATTACTTAGGACAAGACCTAATATACACTGGGTTCCAGAAAATAACTCATCACACTTGCCTTCAACATTTCCTAGTCTATGGTCTTTTATGCATGCCATAGGATCTAGTCAGGTCAAACTAATATTTTAATTAAAAAAAAACATGGCCCAGGTGGGTTGTGAACAGTATGAATTTACATCTCACCATTTTAGAGATTGGAAAGTGCAAGACCAAGAGGCACTTGCAGATTTGACAGCTGGTGAGGACCTGCTTCCAAACTCATAAGCAATGGTCTTTCTGTGTCCTCATGTGGCAGAATGGGAAAGGAGTTCTCCAGGGTCTCTTTAATAAGGAGGGCTCTGCCTTCATGACTAAATCATCTCTTAAAGGCCCCACCTAATGCCAATTCATTGAGAGTCAGGATTATAACAATGAATGTTGGAGGGACACACACATTCAATCTACAGCAGATTCTGAATTGTGTACATAGAGATCTTTGGATGCATTCATTTATTCTGAGTTCCAAGACTGTGCAAAATAGTGCATTGATTTGGCACAATTGAGATGTGTGAGCCTCGTGCTATTGAGGAGCTGCTAAAACACAGACAGGGGACAGCTTAGTGAGTCAGGCTGTACGGTTCTGCTCCGATCTGGGAGCCATGCTATGGGATTGTCAGGAGCATCGTCAAAGCCACGTGACACACGCACCAGGGAGAGAGCTGGAAGAAGACTCATTTTTGCTCAGGTATGAAGTCACCATGATCAGAGTCAGGGATGGAGAGAGGAGGTCGAAAAAGTACACCTGGGTTCCCATGGGGGTTTCCCCTTCAGTCGTGCAGAGATGAATGAGTGAATGAATGAATGAATGAATGAATTAAATGTAAGCAGAGCCTTAACCTGCAGAATGAGAGAAAATGTTTGCAACCCACCCATCTGGGAAAGGTTTAATATCCAGAATCTACAAGGCACTTAAACAAATTTACAAGAAGAAAACAAACAAACCCATTAAAAAGTGGGCAAAGGACATGAACAGGCGCTTCTTGAAGGAAGATATTTATGCAGCCAACAAACATATGAAAGAAAGCTCAACATGACTGATCGTTAGAGAAATGCAAATCAAAACAACAATGAGATATCATCTGATGCCAGTCAGAATGGCAATTATTAAAAAGTCAAGAAACAATAGATGCTGATGAGGCTGTGGATAAATAGAAACCCTTTTCACTATTGGTGGAAATGTAAATTAGTTAACTATTGCGGAAAACAGTGTGGCAATTCCTCCAGGAACTAGAACCAGAAATACTATTTGACCCAGCCATTCCATCACTGGGTGTATACCCAAAGGAATATAAATCATTCTATTATAAAGATACATGTTTATTGTAGCACTATGCAAAATAGCAAAGATAGAGAATCAACCCAAATGCCCACCAATGATAGACTGGATAAAAAAATGGCACACATACATCATGGAATACTAAGCGGTCATAAAAAGGAGATCATGTCCTTTGCAGGGACATGGATGAAGCTGGAAGCCATTATCCTCAGCAAACTAACGCAGGAACAGAAAACCAAATACTGCATGTACTCACTCATAAGTGGGAGCTGAACAGTGAGAACACATCGACACAGGAGGGGGAACAAAACACACCAGGGCCCATGGGATGAGTGAGGGAGGAAGAGCATCAGGATAAATAGCTAATGCTCGCAGAGCTTAATACTTAGATGATGATGGGTTGGTAGGTGCAGCAAACCACTGTGGCACACGTATATCTATGTAAAAAATCTGCATGTCCTGCACATGTACCCTAGAAGTTAAAATAAAACAAAAAAGAAATGTAAGCAGATCCTTTTCCTCCAGAAAATATCCATGGTGCCCTGTAGCGCATGAAAAATAAGGAGATGCAGAAGAATGAGGCAAGAGCCCTCATAGAGCACACGGTCACTCACCATTTCCAAAGCCATCTCCAACACCTGAAACCCTTTTTTGAAGATCTCCTTCTTCCCATTTATCAAAAGATGTATTTATTTATTTCTCCACTGTATCTCTACTAACCCTGAGAAAAGAAAAGAAGATTACATTGAAACAAGTCAGAAGGACCTTCAGATAAGTGCTAGCTTCCGTATCTCCACAAGACAGATAAAAGTGGTTATTACCTAAGAGCCTAGGAAGTAAAACAAAAAATACAAAAATGAGCAAGAAAAGCCTGTATTACCCATTCAGGAGCCACGCATCACTGGCATCACGCCCAGTAGTGGTAGGCACTTAGGACAGAGCCCAAAACAGGGGAACTTGTAAGATAAAAAGTTTTTTGTGGGGCTGGGCATGGTGGATCATGCCTGGGATTACCAGAACTTTGAGAGGCCAAGGTGGGCAGATCAGGAGTTCAAGACCAGCCTGGCTGACACGATGAAACTCCGTCCCTCCTAAAAATACAAAAATTAGCCAGGCATGGTGGCACGTGCCTGTAATCTCAGCTACTCAGGAGGCTGAGGCAGGAGAATTGCTTGAACCTGGGAGGCAGAGGTTGCAGTGAGCCAAGATCACGCCACTGCACTCCAGCCTGGGTGAAAGAGCGAGACTCCATGTCAAAAAAAAAAAAAAAAAAGTTCATCGGATTATGGTTTGCAATCAGGAAAAAAGGTGATAACAAACTAAATATCCATCATTAAAGAATGGATGCATTGATTATAATGAAATACCCTTGCTTGAGCTTGGTTATAATGAATACATTTTAAACAATCCTGCCATCTCCATTTTGCCCACCCTGAGCTATGTTTGCTCACTCTGAGTTATGTAGGGCATTCTGTTCCCAAAGCTTGTGGTCTGAGGCACCTGGCATCTTTGTAACCCATTATCTGAGAAACGGGGCCCACTGGCCCTGTACATCCTGTATCTGTAACTGTGTAACTGCTACCCCACACTGCTATCCCGCATCCTGAGTAAAAAAACAATTGTAACTAGAACTTTTTGTTAGGCAACCCTCCCCCACTTCCCTTAACCTGCTCCTTCGGCTTCTGTAAACCGCCCCCTGACCCTAAACTGGTATAAAAATGTGGACCGCCCTTTGTTCTTGGCCGAGAGGTTTGAGCTCTAGCTGACTCTCGTACGGTGGCATAAAGGTGGACTCTCAACACACTCAGTGCATGGTGCTTCTGTTTAAACTCGCTTGGGTATACCAATACGATCATTGCATTCATTCTGTAGCGCAGTTAACATGAATTGCCGAAACCACAGGTTAAACATTGATGAATATTCACAATATTGGTTAAAATTAAACCGCAGAAGAAATTGTACAGCATGACACCAAGCAAATACAATTTTTAAGTAATATAGAAAATGTTATTTAAAATACAAGCAAAATATATAAGACATGAAGGGAGATGATAAAGACCTGTTTCTACGTAGTGGTACAGCCAGAGGAGGAGGATGCATTCCAGAAATTTCATACACCGCTTCAATTTTATTTAAAATATTTTATGTATTGCCTATATTATATGTTTTATTTTAAATAATGGGCAAAGATAATACAAACTCTGCAGAAGCATCATGTTTTCTCCGGCCCACGTTAAAGATGGTCCAGATGCTTGCAATGACCCCGTTGACCCCTACAGCCAACATGGCAACCGGAAGTCTTGAGAGCTCAATTCCCTCGATTTTCAGAAAGCCCTCTTCCTCTGTGAGCATTATCGCCAAAGAAGCTGAGAACTAGTGAAATCGAAGCCTACGGGGATTCTCCCGTTTGTCCCATCCTCCCTAAAGTCACCACCTGCTGCTTTCCCGGAATGCTTACCAGTTGAGTTTCAGGAGCCCCAGGGTGTACAGAAGCAGCAGCGGAGGCTTGTTGCTAGGACACCGCCAGGCTGCTCTGTGTTGGGTTCCCCTTGGTCACCAAGAAAGGGACACCCCAAAGGGAGAAGTTCATACGAAGCTGTCAGAAAGAGAAATAGGGCCCTCCTCTTGCTGAAAAAGAGGAAGCGTGAAAAAAAAACCAACAAACCCAGGAAGTTCTGCATCCTGTTAGAGCCTGATTTTTTTTCCAAGTTGCTTTTGCCAAGATGTGACTTTGACAACTTCAGCCACCTCTCTCATACTCAATTATTTAAAGTTTCTATCATAATAATTTTTATACTAATGTTCATGTTGTTAATAGTAATAATTTTACATTGCAACTGTAATACTTTCAATATTAGAAGTGTCAGCCTAAACAAACATATGAAAGCTTTCTTTAAAAAACAACAACAGTGTTTATTTGGGAATAAAGCATTGCAATTGGGAATATGCACACCATAGTAAACCATTGTGTATATTCAGGTGAGGGAGAAGAAAACAAAAAATCAGTTAGGTAGACAGCTAAGGATGGTCCTCAGAGAAGCAGACTGTCTGAAAAAAATCACAGCTGCAGGTAAAAACAGAGTAGCCTGGGGAACACTCAGACTGTATTGCACATGTAAGCAGGGAGATAAGCAGGCAAAGCCCAGCATAGAAGCCTTTTGTTCTTCCTGTGACTAATGGATTCCCAGAAAAAAGTTCCCTCCCCTTTTCAGATATATACACTGTGGGCTTCCTAGGAGCTTGTCTAGGGAAAACAAGCCCACAGTTATACACACAAGAGAAGCTATGCTTTGTGCTTACCTAGAGACATTCCACTGCTGCATAGATAGGGAGAGTATAAAGACAGTTTTACAGATACTTAAATGGCTATAGAGATGAGAGGAGTTTCTGATAAGAGTTTTTGCATTCAACTGTAAAATGGTTTCCCTCTCCTTTGTGGAGAGCTTTCTTCTTCTGCTTAGTAAATGCTCATTGCCACCTCACCCTTTGCACCCATGCTCCTTAATTTTCTTGGTCCTGAGACAACGAACCTATTGACCCTGACCTGTTTCACAGGGACATAAAGGAAGGCAAAAATGGAGAGGATTGCATATTGTTTTGAAGTAATTAGCCTTGACTGCAAAGATCAATAATGTGTTTTGAAGTAATTAGCCTTGACTACAGAGATCAATAATGAGGGTGACATACGTATGAGGTTGGACAGGCAGTTGCTGGGCAGCTGTCCTTGCAGAAGTATTTTTTTGTTTAAGGTTGCAATTGGCTTTATGCAATGTTGGGAATATTGTAAACCTTTTCATTATCAGGCACTCAAGTGTGAGAGCACTTTCTTCATTGCCTTTCTGACTCATTTGTCATGGGTTTCTTAACATTAGTGACTCCATTTTTGTTCTCACAACTTTCACATTTCTCCTTGTAATCAAGATCTTTCTCTGGAAAAAAGCATCAATCAATCATTCCGTAATTAGATTTTTTTTTTTTTTTTTTTTTTTTTTTTTTTTTAAGACAGAGTCTTGCTCTGTTGCCAGGTGCCAGGCTGGAATGCAGTGGCGGGATCTTGTCTCACTGTAACCTCCCCCACCCGGGTTCAAGCTATTCTCCTGCCTTAGCCTCCCGAGTAGCTGGGACTACAGGCACGTGTCACCATGCCCAGCTAATTTTTGTATTTTTAGTAGAGATGGGGTTTCACCATGTTGGCCAAGGTGGCAAGATGGTCTTGATCTCTCTTTTTTTTTTTTTTTTTTTTTTTTTTGAGACAGAGTTTCGCTCTTGTTACCCAGGCTGGAGTGCAATGGCATGAACTTGGCTCACCGCAACCTCCGCCTCCTGGGTTCAGGCAATTCTCCTGCCTCAGCCTCCTGAGTAGCTGGGATTACAGGTATGTGCCACCACGCCCAGTGAATTTTTTGTATTTTTAGTAGAGACGGGGTTTCACCATGTTGACCATGATGGTCTTGATCTCTTGACCTTGTGATCCATCTGCCTCAGCCTCCCAAAGTGTTGGGATTACAGGTGTGAGCCACCGTGCCCGGCCTGGTCTCGATCTCTTGACCTCGTGATCCACCCGCCTTGGCTTCCCTAAGTGTTGGGATTATAGGTGTGAGCCACCATGCCGGCCTTGTAATTTGATTTTGATGTTCCTCAACACCAGGATGGACCTGTTTCAGTTGCTCGTCTCATCCCATGTTGTGGGGAGTGATTGGTGACTAGGAGTCAATGTCAAAACCACTTTTGGGGCCGGGTATGGTAGCTCATGCCTGTAATCCTAGCACTTTGGGAGGCTAGGCTGGGAGCATCACTTGAGCTCAGGACTTTGAGACCAGCCTGGGCAACATAGTAAGACTTCATCTCAAAAAACAAAACAACAACAAAAAAACCCACCATTTGGGCAACAAGGGGGATTCAAAGGGTGTGGTTCTCAGGCTAAGTCTACATGGAGTCCATTAGTGTGTTCTGTAGTCTTTTCCTATCATTTCAAAGTGGTGGGCCAGCATTATTTTCCTAGGAGTTGTACTGCTATAAAAATTTAACAAGTAGTAGATACAAAGTCTTAAAAGGAGAAATACAAAGTAAGGGGAAATACAAATTAATTGCAGTATCAGTTTCAGTTTCCAGTCATGCAAACTGAATTTGTGGTTATGCAATTATGAAACTCAAAAGCTTTCTCTTTTGGGTACATAGGTCTCAGAGGAATTTAACTCATAGGAATTTTTGTCAGAGGAGTTTATCCAGATATAGCATGTAGTATTACCAATTACACAGACATTTTCTTATCTAACCATGGAAGATTTCTCATGTTATATTTTGTTAAGTTATAAGCAGAAGCAATGACTGTGAAATTTGAGTTATACCATTATCCTGCTGAGTTGAAAAAGTAATACTAAGTGGGGCAAAGGCTAATTATGATACGGAGTCTTGTTCCAATGTCTTGGGAAAAGTTCTACAGCATAAAAACATCAACTTTTCTTCCTCCTTTGTAGATCGAATGTCTCCAGGCATGATATTGGGCAGTTTAGTGAACTATTTACATGGCCCATACATCAGCTGTAAGACTTATTCCTTAAAATTCATCTAGTTTTAGTTTCTAGGGCTTTAAGAACAGAGTGGTATCCTGGCACTGTGGCTCACACCTGTAATCCCAGCCCTTTGGGAGGCTGAGGTGGGCGGATCACCTGAGATCAGGAGTTCAAGACCAGCCTGGCCAACATGGTGAAACACCATCTCTACTAGATATAGGTGATGGGGAGGAAGGCAGCAAACCACATTGCCATGTATGTACCTATGCAACAATCTTGCATGTTCTTCACATGTACCCCTAAACCTAAAACGTATTAAAATATATATTTTAAAAAATACAAAAATTAGCTGGGCATGATGGCAGGTATCTGTAATCTCAGCTACTCGGGAGGCTGAGGTAGGAGAATTGCTTGAACCTGGGAGGCAGAGGTTGTAGTGAACTGAGATTATGAGGCTGCACTCCAGCATGGGTGACAGAGCGAGACACCGTCTCAAAAAAAAAACAAAACAAAACAAAACAGAGTGACTTTCGTTTCAAGTTGGAGAAATTGTAGCCAAATATTGGGGGAAATTAGGAGAATTTAGGATCTAGTTTAGTCTACAGACAGATAACAAGAACATGGAAACAGTGCACAGGGCCACACCCTAATAACAGGCATGTTACAGTTTTTATTTAGAAATGTAATGTTTCACTGGGGATGGTGGTTCACGCCTGTAATCCCAGCACTTTGGGAGGCCGAGGTGGGTGGATCGCGAGGTCAGGAGATTGAGACCATCTTGTAACATGGTGAAACCCTGTCTTTACTACAAATACAAAAAGTTAGCCAGCTGTGGTGGCACATGCCTGTAGTCCTGGCTACCAAGGTGGCTGAGGCAAGAGAATTGCTTGAACCTGGGAGGTGGAGGGTGCAGTGAGCCGAGATCGCACCACTGCACTCCAGCCTGGGTGACAGAGTGAGACTCCTTCTCAAAAATAAATAAATAAATAAATAAATAAATAAATAAATAAATAAATAAATTTTCTCGCTATATTGATTATATACAAATCTCAGATTTTAAAACCTCATGAGGCTTTGTAGCCAAAGCAAAGCAAACTCTACATATTTACAGTTGTAAGTTTCTTGGGTCTGCCAAGAAGTGACAGCTCTTACCACTCACTCTAAGTATGGGAACTCTGTGTGTGTACCTATGCAACAATCTTGCATGTACCCCCAAAACCTAAAATGCAAAAAAAAAGAAAAAGTATGGGAACTCTTAAAGTCAGACATTTTATTCACATTCTTAACATGACATTTGGTAATATAGCCAATGTTTCCAACTGTGTCCTGCTTATAAAAAGAGACAGGGTTTTACTATGAGATGTGTGAGCCTTGTGCTATTGTATATCTTCTAAATATACAATCATGTCATCTGCAAATAGAGACAATTTGCCTGCCTCTTTTCCTAATTGAATACCCTTTATTTCTTTTTCTTGCCCGATTGCTCTAGCTAGAACTTCCAGTACTATATTGAACAGGAGTGGTGAGAGAGGGCATCCTTGTCTTGTGCCAGTTTTCAAAGGGAATGCTTCCAGTTTTTGCCCATTCAGTATGATATTGACTATGGGTTTGTCATAAATAGCCTTTATTATTTTGTGGTATGTTCCATCAATACCTAGTTTATTGAGAGTTTTTAGCATAAAGGGCTGTTGAATTCTGTCGAAGGCCTTCTCTGCATCTATTGAGATAATCATGTGGTTTTTGTTTTTGGTTCTGTTTATGTGATGGATTACATTGATAGACTTGCTTATGTTGAACCAGCCTTGCATCCCTGGGATGAAGCCTACTTGATCATGATGAGTAAGCTTTTTGATTTGCTGTTGCATTTTGTTTGCCAGTATTTTATTAAAGGTTTTTGTGTTGATGTTCATCGTGGATACTGGCCTGAAGTTTTCTTTTTTAGTTGTGTCTCTGCTCAGTTTTGATATTAGGATGATGTTGGTTTCCTAAAATGAGCTGGGGAGGACTCTCTCTTTTTGGATTGTTTGGAATAGTTTCAGAAGTAATGGTACCAGCTCCTCTTTGTACGTCTGGTAGAATTC